AGCCACCAGGTGAATATTGAAAAGAACACGTCCTGCACCGTCCTAGAAAACAGCCCCAGAGATTTTAATTGAAGGATGCCATCCTAAACTGGGGATTGCCTGTTCAGTTCCTCTTACTTTCTGAAGTACCCAGAAAGTAAAACAAAGGCAGTGCAGCTATTAACCGATTTTGTTAATCTTGCTATGTTTTCTTGGAGGGATTAATTGCTCTCAGAGCTCCACTTACTGCTACAGAGGGAGAGCCGGACTGCCGTGATGATTTTTTAATCTATGTTATCGTTCCTGGTGGGCGAGGTAACTGTTGTGGTATTCAATTTTTTTATGGTTAATAAAGAGATTATGGGGCTACTGACAGTAAAACATATTCCCGACTGTTTTCACAGCAGTATATTGACACGTTTTACAACTCACATGAATTCTGGTCTGCATGCTGCAGGCAGTGTGAGCACACACTCCCTTCCCAACAGACATCTTGGGATTCCAGGAGCCATAACATCCTGCAACTCACAACTGACACCCAACTGAAGCTCAGCAAGTGTGAGTTTGGCCATAACATGGATGGGAGACCTCCTGGGAAAAACTAAGGCTGCTGCTGGAAGAGGTGCAAGTGGGGCCAGTAAGGGGCGCTCACCCTGTGGTCACAGTATAGTGATGGGGACACTATACTGCAAAGAGGTGCCATTCTTTTGATGAGACATAAAACCAAGGGTCCTCACTCTCTGTGATCATAAAATATCCCAGGTTATTTCTTGAAAACGGTGTTACCCCAGTGTCCTGGCCACATAATAATCTCCGCCTCCTAATAATCCTCATCTAGGAATCGGCTTCATCACTCTGTTCTGTTCTGTGTGGTGAGCATATTGTGTGCAGTATGGCTGCTGTTGATATACCATTGGTGGTGATGGAGTGGAGTGTCCAGAAAAGTGCTATATAAGCTTAAGGAATTATTATAATTATCATCTATGTAGTGGGCAGGCTGGCTGAGAGCATGTAGTAGGTCACTGTCATTAGTCAGCTTTGACTGGGCAAATATAGCCAAAGCTGGGAGCAAGCGGGCAGGTGTACAGTAGTTAACAATGCAGAGGAGAGATGCATTTTTTTCCCAGCTGATGCTCACTGTCCTGTAGGAACTGTGCAGGTCACAGCAGGTCAGATGAACAGCTCAACAGCAGAAAGGTCAGAGGAGTGCGCTGTTACAGTCTGTCCTGACCCTGCTGTGGTTACCTGGTGTAACTTTGTGGGGAGGGATCAGTGGACAGTCAGGTCAATTAAAACACAGCAATTCCAAAATCATAAGGGTACAAATAGGAAAATATTTGCAGACACCAAAATACAGAAATAAATATTGCCAATGACAGTAACAATTTCTTATGGAAGTTCTTTTTCTGAACACACAGCAATCACAGAAAATTATACTGTGTATTTGGCTTTTTTTTGGTAATCAATAAAATAACTATTTTAATGCATTTTCATATCCCATTCAAATACACATTTTTTAAACTGACAAAATATGCAAAATAAGCATTGCAACATTAATGTAACATTGTTCTTACAGTTTCTATGCTGTCTTAATTAGAAACACTCTTCTCACAATTGACTTGTCAGCTGACAGGTAGTGACAGTGAGCTTCCCGCCAGCTCTCGGGAGTGTCATGTCTTGTTAGCATCACCGTCCATGCTCCTCACTGTTGAGGCACAAGCCTTCTCTCACAAGCAGAACCTGAACCAGCAGTTCCACCAGTTTGTCTTCATCTCCCTCCCACATTCTCAAGCAGCTGAACTTTGCTGCTATGGACCCCCCTGCTCTGTTTCACCTTTACCCGCCCCTGGCCTCTGCCCTGAACTGTGAAAAAGGGCTGCAGTAGTGCCCCCTGCTGGCTCTGTGAGGGCTAGGTGCTGGTGTGTTCAGATCAAGGTTAGCACCAGGGCCTGCCACACAATGACCTGCTTTACAGTGAGCACACGATGCACACTGTGTGCTGCCTTGTCCACATCCCACCTGTGAGGAGAAGGTTTCTGGTGTGTGGTGTCATGGAGTCATGCTTTTCCTCCCAGGATGCATGTGGAGCGAAACCGGACAACAAAGGTTCAAACCCATACCAACTCTTTCATATAGAAATAATTTATTTTAAAAATAGAGCACATACTGTAGTACAATTTGCAAGGTTTAAAATATATAAAAACATGTTTAACATTGAAACATTGATCTTTCGAAGAAAAGTCACAGGAAGAGAAGAACAATCGTTTTAGTCCCACTTTGATCTTAATAAGGCACAGGAACACCTAGTTTTCAGGATCGGAGTTGTGTTCATTGAAAACAAATGGCACAGAGATCTGTGGTTTTAATGGCAAGATGCAGGTGGCTGTTTTGGCAGCTGTTGCATGACTGCGAGAGCAGTCCCACCCCAGTGCACAACACTGTGACAATCTCCTGAGTGGATGCCACCACATTGTCACAGAGCCGCGTGCTCCTCGTCACGCCTGACACCCTGCTCACAGGCAGCTGATCAAATCTGGAACTACGCTGTTCCTTGTTGCTGTTTATGGATAGGGACACCGGGTGCTGCATGCAGAGCAGACATCATTAGTGAAGCCCCCTGTAAGTGACTCCTGCAGCACCCGGTGTAACAGAATAATTACAGGAAGAGAGACAGGAGGCTCAGGCATGGCGTCAGGAAAGAAACAGCCAAAAGGAGTAAAAGACAAAGCAAAAGACCCCTGGAATTTAAGCTCAAGATTTAGCCACACTGTACCCCAAGACACCATTAGAAGTGAAAGATCTGAATGATGTAATGAACTAGTTACAATCCAAGACGTCTGGTGATTTTAAGAACTAACAAAAAAGAGCTCACATACTGCATAATTAATCCCCATTTAGGGAACTCAGTGCAACCCAGCAAATGAGCTAATTACTGTAAATATGGTCATAGAAGTTTCAGTAAGCAGGCAAACCTCTGAGTGACCAACATGAGCACTATGTACCCAGTCCCAGAAAGTCAGGAAACGTAACAGGCTAGATTGGAAGCACAGCAAGATTTACCAAGATAATAATATTAATAATACAACAGGAACCTATGATCAAAAACTGCAAATGCAGACATCAAACTTGATTCTTGTGAATTAGTGCTTGACTTAAAAACAGTACTTCCCCACAACATTAGAAGTTTTGTAACATACTTAGGTCATACAGGATCTTGTGATGATGACCGATTTTCACCATGATCCTTTCACCAATAAACCCAGCACCCAGTGAGAATTTCAGCCATTGAGATTCATCTCAGTCACAGAATAAATTACTTGTACTGAAGCAACCATGACAAGAAATGCCTGATATTGGCACTTTTTATGACCTAAGTCAAATTAACCTCATTTGTAGTTTTTTTTTAAATCCATCTCAGAAAAAGGCTTTGAAGTCCAGTGTTTGTGACAGAGAGGTGATTTTGTATTTACAGTGGAGAGCAAGAGCAGCTTCAGCTGTTTGAGCTGCTGTATGAGCTCTGATAACCATGACCCAGCATGGTTCTGAACTCTGTTTTCCATACCTTTTCATCCTTAACATGTACAGTATCTAGAAAGTACATAGTTCATTTTTTATCTCCCGAGTTGAGGCTTTGAATATGCTTGCTGTCAACATTTATGACTCCCTTAAAGGCCACAGAAGACTTACCTGACTATTTTAGACTTCTATATTCTTCATAGTGCCACTGGGAAGCAATACTTACTACCCTAAAGTAGTCTTACATATGACAACTTTTTCATATTCATCTGGTGACAGCCAGACACCGAACTGTATGCCAACACTGACAAAAAATGTTCTATAAAAAATATGCATGCTTACATTAGTGAGCTGAAGTGAGTTGAAGATTAACTTGTTATTTTTTAACAGAAATCTTTAAACCTTAAGTCCATGGTCTAAAACAATCAAAAGGGTCTGCTAAGAATGTAAGACTGTTCAATATTACAGAATGGATTTACTGTAAATTGAACACGTGCAGTAATGCTGTATTTTCTAAAACCTGTTAGCCATAACTCCATAAAGAGAGTCTGCTAAACGAGAAAGGTTTTGTCTTGTCCCTTTTAAAGGGTACCTGTCTAGACACGGGTTGTTTGGGAGCATTGCAGGTTTAAAAGCGAGTTCCAGCCATATTCCTTTCCTAAAGCACATCAGACCTGTCCATCTCAGCTCCTGCACTTCCACTCCCACAGATCCCACAGACACCGTATTACCAAGCTTTTCCATGAGTGTCTGCACAGGCGCACAAGGCCGAGCTACCAGCTGTGACAGGGATTGTCTCTGCTCTGTAGGGGTAGAGCACTGAAACTCAGGCCTACTACACCAACTGAGCCAGAATTTTCTTCAAATTCAACAACAAAAAAATCTGTTGACATCTGTTTTGTCCCCTGTTCGAAGCATTAGCTTCCACGACCCCTGCCCCTGCTATAACACAATCTTGAATCTGGCAAGAAGGGTCCTCAGGCTCCCCCAGGAGAGGGAGCTCTTGGCTATGCCACACAGTGGACTCTGAGACAACAGAATAGGGCACTCTGACACTGACAACGACAGAGGGTACAGTGACATGCCAGTAGGCCACAGGACAGTGCACACGGCAGACACAGAGCTGCAGAAAACTCTGCCCACATCTTTGTGCGCTGAACCATAAACACTGGTCACTGGTCACCAGCCACTGTGGAACTAATTGACAAAAGCCAATCAGACTTCTTTCTAGTGTTTTGTGACCTCTTGACTCCATCAAGAAATTCTTGACCGAAACAAAAAAAATGTATAGTGCAGAAGGGGAAGACATCGATCATCCCCTCTCGCAAAAAAAGTGCAAATACCACACAAGGTGTGCAAATAACATTCACAAGATATTACCTGAGAAGGTGAGGTCCTTCTTTCAAACAAAACAGCATATGTGTTTTAAACTAATAGACAGGACCTAATGTAACATTATAAACGAAGTCTGTTGTGGATCACGAGTTGCTCTGTACTGGACGGTGTGAAGAACTGCACCCAAGAAAAATGTATCCCATTTATCCAATCGGAGGGCAGCAGGCAGAGGCTCCTTTCTCCAGATGGTTGGGCTATTATGGACAAATTGGCTGACAGACAGTGATCCATCTTTCAAAACAGTGCAACAGTTAGTCTTTTACCCCAACCTTCCACTCCCTAAAAAACATCTTACCCATTTTCTTTGGCCTAAAACTAGTGTTCACAGAGCCAGTGTCCCCTGTAACAGCTCCTCCCCGACCAGCGCTCTGCACCAGACTCCCAGCCACCGAGAGCTGCTGTCAGTCGGACGACGCCTTTGGAGCCGCCCTCGGCCTCCTGCTCCTCTTCTGTTTCCTGGGGGCGGCGGGGGCCCAGAACAGGGGCAGGCTGAAGGCGCAGATGATGCCGAGGCTGAGCACCACGCACAGCAGCCCCGCCCCAAAGCTGCTGGCGAAGGTGACGGGGGGGCCGTGTGCCAGCAGCCACTGCCGCCTCTGCGCCATGTCCATGACGATGGACTCCACCTGGTAGTGCGTCCCGAGAATTCCGCAGACGTGGAACAGCTGGTGGCTGTGACCTGTGGGAGGCGGCCAACGGAGAGGTGTGCTCGGCTGTTACTCCCGTTACTGGCCGCGGTTCTGTGCACCAGTTACGGCGCCTTTCAATCTCAATGAAGCCCAAAGTGCTTTCCACCACTTCACCCACCACTGAAGGAAGCACAGCACCTATCTGGGTGATGTGCGGCAGCAACACACCTACATACCACATTAGCTAGAGAACTGGGAAACTGCACTGACAAATGAAATTAGGGGCAACTCCAGAGATGCCAGAATGCACAGGAATTTAAAAATCCAAGGGAAACACCCCTACTTTTCTCCGTAAAGTGCAATGGGATCTTCTATACTTCCTATAGTGTCTCCTTTCCCTATATTGAAGCATTGGCTTGGGAAATTCAGAGCAGGGGGAAGAGTACCAGTCTAGATTTCCTTGGAGCTCCCCCACCCCAGTACTGATCAGCCCCAGCCTCGCCCAGCTCCTGAGATCTGACAACATCGGGCTCTAGGGTGAGAACGCTAGTGTCTCGCTACAGTTTAATAATGTGCCACTTTTACTGAAGTTCCCTTTAAGGTAATAAGTGAATCGTACACTGACTGAAAACGAAAGCACTTCCGAACAGAGCTTATACTGCAGAATGCCGCATGTACTTAATGTGATATATTACACAATGAAGCAAAAACACAGAACAGGACGTACTGTGGGAAACAGTCGATAATAATTACAGATGCTATTCCACGTCTAGAAATATGCAGTCTTGTTGACAGACCGGAATTTGCATCAGTAAATCAGACAATAAGTCTGAAGGGTGGCCTGCTAGGGCTCAGCCGTGGCCTGAGCTTCAGTGTTAGTTGGGCAGTTATGTGGACCAGCTGAACTGTGACCCCACAGCGGAACAACCTACCAATGTAGTCGAAGCAGCCGGGCGCCAGTCGCTCGGGGAGGTGTGTAGCGAACAGGAAGCCAGTTAAGAAGGCCAGCGCCATGTGGCGGTAGTGCAGGAGATTGGTCTCGTTGTCCGTGCAGCCTTCTCCCACACAGAAGAAGATCTGGGAGCAGAGACAAGACCGGTTTAGCAGCAGGCCCGATCACAGGGGCAGGACACCAACGGGGAATTCAAGGGGTCTCAGTTTTCTTTCCAATGATATTAAAACTCTCATTCCAAAACAGCTTAGTTCTGGAAATGACCTAGGGCTGTGAGGATGACGATAGCACATTTAACTTAAAGGATGGGCTTTAGAAACTGTGGTGAACTGTGGTGATAACTGATGACATTAAAAACCACCAAACGTTGCAAAGGTTAATGGGATTCATTAACCCATTAAATTCATGTATACTGCTGCTACTTGCTAGTACAGTATGGTATACTGCTGCTTCCCACTATGTGGTTGGCACACATGCTATTGTTTTCTGTTTCTGTCTAAAACAATTTGGGGTGTCACTTGTGATGGTATTGGTTATATGAGGACACACACAAGCATTTCCTTGTACTCAGGTACATATGACAATAAACTTGAAACTTCAAAGTCGGGGATGCTGTCCGAACCGCGCTTGGAATCCAGAAGCACAAGTCCACACAGGGAGCAGAGGGTTTCCTTGTAGGCTCAGCGTACTCACCCTGTAGAAGACGGGAATGTTGTCAAACAGGTAGGGATAAGCAAAGGCCACAACGCGAAGGGCTTTGCTCAGCTTTGGTCGCTCACACTCTGGAAGTCTAGAGCAGAGGAGGAATGCAACTCAATGAAATTGGAGTCAAGAGAAAAACTGACAGGTGAAAAACAAAAGGGCTGGGCTTGCCCAAGCAGGAGGGCAACAGGAAACAAGCACAGCTGAAATCATCTTGCTTTATCTGTGGTGGAAGGAAGCTCTCCTACCCAGGAGACACCTGATCAAAGAAGAACCGTGTCACCACAATGGCAATGGAGGAGAGGATTGTTTGGAAGCAGAACGATTGGATTCGATAAAGGATGTTGGAGCTGAAAGGTACTTTGTAACAGAGCGAAAATTAATGACTATATGCCATGTGAGACTTCTCAATTTCATATTGCCATTTACCAGCTTCTTTGGGTGCACACGGCAAATTTAATTGAGAATGAAATTGCCTTTGCACAGCTGAAATGAAAATGAAATTGCCTTTTGTGTCATGGTCAGAGCATGGCACCGCACAAGTCGGCTTCGAAGGAAGGCATTCAGCCTGACGATAAATCAATTTGTTTGTGTTAAGGCTATGGATCACATAGCCAGCAATTATAATAATCAATGAGTGAAGTAACTGACCTGAAATAATCTCTCTTTTCATCAGGGAATCTGCTTTGCAAAGCAAGAGGCAGCAACAGAAGATTAGTAGAATCACTTGCATTCTTTTTTTTTTGCAAGAATTTCTTTGTTTCTTTGAATCCCATAATGCAGGCAATTAGCAACAAGCCCTGTGGCTCTGCCTAGATATCCTACACAATACATCCAATAGCACTTTGCAAATAGAGTCTGTTTAAGTAATGACCTTTAAACAGTTAAATATTTACAATCCAACTAAATTTTTCCCATGTATTGCAATACTTTCTCCACTACTGCCTTTATCACAAAACACACTGTATTCACTGCCACCTTTCCAAATGAACATGTTCAAGTGTGCATTCTGTCTCTGTGTATTCCTGTGTCTGAAGTAATTGCTGTTACTTCACCAACAAGCCATGAAGCATTTTAAGATGCATGAATGAAATGGATGGTATAACTCTTATTCCAAACTCTTTGTGACAGGATCACGGAGTTGAAAGTGATCGGGAGTTTCTGAAGTGGTCACCCTTTCAGTATACTCGAACCACCCCTGGGTAAAGCACAGCAGAGGGGGAAATTACAATACATGTCTGAAATGATCTGCTGGTTTTGGGAAGGGCTTTCTTTTTTCTTAAGTAACCAGTTCAGTGTTCGCAGCTGCAGGAGTTGTAGTAACAGACTCCGAAATCAGAGTTATACACAACAGCCAGGGGGATGCAAAGAAGTTGAAAATGACCACTGTCACTTCAGTCTTCCTCTTTAAATCTCTAGTGTCGCCTGCGAAAGGGCCCTGTAATGATATTCACCGCTCGTATCACACTGGGTCTCACTCTGGCTTATACAGACCTCCTGCTGCCTCATTCACAGATAAAGGAGAGAAATCGAGAAGATAAAAGACAGAGGAAGTCACACTTGACATGATCACAGGCTGTAACAGTTGTGTGGCCATGAGAGATAGCAGAAATATCTTAACAGAGTTCTTCATGATTTCTTTAGAGGAATACAAAAGATATGCAGGCCAAAAAAACTCTCTGCAAGCTCTGCCCAGGCATAATTATGTAACTCAAGGAACAGTGTACTTCTCACTGTATTTCTGCAGAACAGTGTAGTAATGTGGAAATGCACATGCAGGTGACTATCTGTCCCATTGCAGGTACTGTACCACTCGCTTTACTTTTGGCAACAGTTTCTCCTCTGACTGGCAAAGCTTACAGGGTCTCAAAGAAAAAAGAAAAAAATAATTGATAGATATGATGGGGGGCAAATCCTGATAACAGAAAGCTGACCAAGTGTATTTTTACACACAGCTAGTCTCCACTACACTTTACTGCTACCAAATTCAAAATGACATAGATTGTGTTTTGGAAAATGTTAATAAAGCAGGTTTATATTTCATATACCATTTTTTAAAGATATATCTGTTGCCTCTCATACCCAAGCACAAAGTGAAAAACCCCAAAACCTCAGCCAGCAGCAGTACAGATTGCAGATACTCAGCGCACAGCTGTTACCTCTTGGTGACGTCATGGTTATAATGGAGAAACGGTGAGCCAAGCCTTAGTGGGCAATAAGGAGAGTGGGAGAGGCATGGTTAGACTGCAGTCAAGCTGGGAGATTATTACAGCCCCCACAAAACACAGACAAAGAAACCGAGAAAAAAACACAGCCAGCAGTGGTAAGTGTCACGACTGAAGTTAATAATGAAACAGTTCAGCGACAGACTGTCAGAAACGGAGCTCAGAGTACAAAGTCATATTCCTGAGGATAAATGCCACATGAAAAAAAAAAACTGGCATGTTGTTCATTAAACTTTCTGCACCTCTGCATGTCTCTTTCAAAGACTTGTAACATCCATCCATTTTCAGTAAGCACTGAAACCAATACAGGCTCACAATGAGTCAGAGTTAATCTGACAAACAGTGGGCGCAAACAGTCACCCTGGACAACACCCCAGTGCATCGCAGGGTATGCACACACAGATGCATTTGGGTGCCATTATACGTATACCAGTTAATCCCGACGACATGTCTTTTTTGGCTGCGGGAGAAAAGCCAATCACCTGGAGAAAAATCCACACATCCGTGGGAAGAACGTGCAAACTCCACACAGAATGTACCTCAGACCAGAATCAAACCCAGGACCCTGGAGCTGTGAGGCAGCAGGACTGACCACCACACTATCTTTTGAGGTTTAAACAATGGTCTATGCATGACACTAAAAAATGAAACACTTCCTCAATCAATCATCAGAATATGAAAACATAAGTATTTTCCAGCAAAGACGTGTATTACGATGTGTTTTAGGGCCTTAAAGACTAGACGTGGAAGAGCACAGAGCTCTCAGCAAGTGACAATGACTGGTGATGACTGACTCCTCTCTTCCCTCTTGGGAGTCAATGTGAAGCCCTCTGAGAGCTTGCAGCTCCTTTTTATTTGCCTGTGGAAATTAGGAGCAAGCGAGGAACAGCCCCTGCATTCGACAGTTTCTCTGAACATGCCGCTGATGTAAGAATGTGAGAAATGTCATTCTAAGGGACGTTCACCCAGTGCTTGAAGCCATAACAGAGGACCAAAAATGTGATCAGTTCAGCCAGTTACTGTTCTTAAAGGAAATTCTGGCATTTCAAGAGGGGAAGTAGGTAGAGGAATTCAGTCAACAGGTGTAAGAGGAAGTGGAAACTCCTTTGCTTTCAGGAAAAAGCAACAAAGATCAAGAGAGGAGCTGAAATGGGTATAGTTAATTTGGAATTTGATTTATTCTAGCCATATTTAATTTAGAAGAATCTATCCCTGCCAACGCACACACACGTTGGCGATGTATTTGCTTATGCATCTGTTTTGCAGTAGAAATAAATATGGACACTCTGTATTACAGATAAAGCTAATCAGTGATTTATTAGGGTCTCTAATACTGTTTGATTCTTCTGCCTGTATTTATTGATCACGCGTTCATCCCAGAGAGTAGTCATTAAGAGTTTCTAGTGAATGAACTAGTGTGTAGTCTGCCAAGAATTACATCTGCCGCTCTAGAATTGTCAATTGACAATTGCTCTAGAATTGTCTGAAGGCATCACCACAGCACATGGGAAATCAACCTACCGTGAATAGCAGGCCAGAGAAGTGCACAGCACCGTGTTGAACACAGCAATGGGAACATAATAACGGCTGAAGGTGCTGCCTATCCATCTGTCTGGGATCACGTACGCAGAGTAAGCGATGGCCGAGCCTGTGGGACACACACACTGCATATCAGCAGCGAGACAAGAGGGCGAGCTGCCGTCCCGATCCCAGCACTTCACTGTCCCGGGATCCGAACGCTGCTCCCGGCAGAGAGTGGGAGAGAGATGTGACATGAGCTTCTTTGCTCTAGAGCGCAACTTAAGGCTGATTTCCAGGAAAGTAACTGCAAATCTTTACAGGCGTCAAAGAGTCTACAAGGACATATCGTTTGTGCTTAAGTGTCACTCACCCAGGCTATAGAAGCTGAGGGCACCGTAGTCGAAGAAGAAGCAGATGTGGCGTGCGCGGGTCGACATGGTGCTGAAGGTGTGGGCACAGCTGGACGCCAGTGGGTACATGCAGCAGGAGGCCAGGAACACCACCAATGGCCACGTGAAAGCATCGTGCCACACGTCCTGCATAAACACCACTGTCAGCAGCTTCCACAGGAAATACCTGCCGGGGCAGAGCACAGCAGACATGTGACCAACGTGGGAACTTCTCCCTGTGCTTCACGCAGGATCGGATGCAGAAGCTTGACCAGAAGGCTGGCGTTTATGTAACAGGGATCATTCAGCTCCAAGTCCTGCGGCGATGAAGCAACGGTCTTAGAAATTCAACAGTATTGATTTCTACCACAATAGGAGGTCAGCTTCTGGGAGGAATGCGTGTCACTGCTGTCTGGTGGAGACCTGGGGGAACCTAAGAGATCTATATAATATTTTATACCTACACTGATATTACAAAGCACAGAGATAATTCCCCTAGGTTTGAGAGTTTCCTTTTTAGTATAAAGGGACTTTGTATAACAAACATACATAGTAGGTACAATACATAGTTGGCCTTGAAACTAACTTGTTAATTATCAAAAGAGTGAGCAAGTAGATGAAGAATTTGAACATCTTATAACAAACAGAAAAAAACACAAATCTGCGAGGCGACAGATTTCACAGATTTGAGTTGAGTTAATGGGATTTCATGGGCATCACAGAAAAATAAAGGAGAGCAAAGACAGAAATTTAAATTCAGGGAAGCAGAAATCATGTAAGAGTGAAACACGCAAATACTGCACATTAAGCAGTGGCGTGTACTAAAAACATCCTGAGATAGCTTGTTTAACAGCTACAATGACCACAAAAAGAGAAGAATGACTTTGCTGCTATCAAAGGAGATATGCTACTGATGTCAAAATACTCTTGTTGTGAAATGTTTTACTGTTTATCTAAATTCCTGATAGTAAAATCAAGAACAGATTGATCTTGATCCTGCAGTGGAGGCTGGGTGGACCCTGAATGAACCCGTTTGCTCTTGCCTCAGTGTGTTTATAGAAGTGCATTTTTTTCCCCATTCTTTCTACATCAAAGTCCTGGATTCAGGTCCTGCTCTTGTCAGTTGCTGAAGGCGTCAGTTCTTGTCCCAGCCAAGCACACTCACCTTCCAGCAGTCTGACAGGGAAAGTGCTAAGAGCTTTGGGGTAAGGGCCACTTTAAGAAAAAAGCACAGACTGATGACAATTCAAGCAGTCTGGACTTCTGCAGGCACAGTGCTAAGCTAGAGCAAGCCACCTTTCACTTCCTTACAAGTGAGAGCATTTCATGAAAAATGAAAATCGCAAATCTAAAAGCTGGTAAGGAAGGATTTGCCTGCCACTGCAATGAAATGTTTACTCGGTGAGCGAACTCATTAGCGATCCTCACTGCCGAGTTCTCCTCATTACCAGTGACAAGAGACACAGCTTTTCTTCTCTGCTGAGTCCCTCGCAGGCAGGCCAACAGTCTCTCCCGGGAGGTGATGTACCCCAAGGCAAAAAAACATTATCCATTGCTGTGGTGGTAAACACTCGGAGAACAGCAGCAACAAAAGGCATACAGTATCGTCTGCGTACAGAAATGTCAAGGCAGAGGTTGTCAAAGAGCTCAGGGTTTTGACTTCACGGCTTTCAGGAATTTTTAGTTTGTGCCACATGCATAGTCTGTTGATTTCAGCCATTTCACAAGAAACCTCCTTTTGCTTCATAGTTTTATGAGGCTGGATTGGGGGGGGGGTATGTATGGTTTGGTATACTTGTAATAAGGTATATTTTAGCTGAAACCTATGTTTGATTTTTACTAGATGTCTGACTTCAGAAAGCTCATCTCATCAAACAGTACCATCTGCAAATTTAACACTTCTAAACAAGTCTAAAAACCTTAACCCCTGAGAGCTGTGTGCAGGTATAATCTCCTGACGGTCAGCGTGAAGAAACCAAGAGTAGGAGCCACAGCTCTACATCATGAGAGAGCACACCTGACAGCATGCCCAGGGAGACAGCAATTTTGTGAGGTGCCAAAAAAATAGAACCCTTTCAAATGAATCACAGATTCACAGGGATATGCACAGAGCAGATCTCCCGAGACCCTGTGTCTGAATTACTTCACTGACCTTTTTTCAATTTCACCCCCATCTCTAAGATCAAGTCGATTTAAACTGTTGCAGATCCTCAGAACCAAAGTATGCACTATGGGCAACTGTGCCTTCCCTGTCTGTGCTCCTTGCTTGTGGAATAGTCTCCCGGATCATCTCAGACAGCCAGCTTCAGCTGAGACCTTTAAAACATCTTAAAACCCTTCTCTGCCAGGAAACCCATCAACTTCTGCCTGATTCATTTTTAAGATCCTTAACTTCTCTATTACCTTTTTTATGTGAAATACATTGAGATTAACTTTAATGAAAGGTGCCATATAAATGAAATGTATTAGTATTGTTTATTCTTTTAATTAATAAACAAACAAACATCCAGTTGTGTGTTTTTCAGTATCTGTGTTTCCTCAGGGACACAGGGATCCAGACATTGGGAATTAAAAGCGACAGTTGCAGACTCCCATAGCACATTAGTTTGAATGTTTCCAAAGTTTTTTTCTGGTTCCGAAATGTTGTGCAGGAGCAGAACTTGGATTGTGACACAGGACGCTTGGTACGGTTTTCAAAGTACTAACTGCTATATTGTTTGTGCGAATTTGTGACCGCAGTTTGATGGCTTGAAGATCAAACTATTAACTATTCATTTCTCTCCTTCTCTGGTATAAATTCTGTAAAGCCTGCAAAATTGTATCAAACCTGCTAGGTCTGCAGTATGTGTGCAATCACTCATTAAAGTTATTTCTAATTAGACCATTAGAATTCTAACAGAGTGGCCTTAAGGCTGCACAGCTGCACAGTCAGGGTTTAGATTAACGAGCTCTTCAGACATGGGGGGAAAACACCCTGGATAAGGCATCTGCTACAGCACATAACAACACAACACTTTCTGATGGAGCTAATCACCTGAAAGACACCTGAAGACTCTGCCGTTAAACTGGGTTCATTGCCAAACAACATCACAGCCAAAAAGGTAGTGAAATATTATCTTCTGACCATCTGGAATGTGTTCTAGTGAATAATTAATAACCCCCATTAAGCTGCACTAAAGCATTGGAAACAAAATGTTTTAGTGAATGTTTAAATAAAACATAGTGGGGGAAAAAAATACTGACGGAGTCAAACTGAGCCAAGATCGGTCCGTTTTGCAATGCAAAACCAGGTTAATTTTTTTTTTATTCTTTTGTTTCTGCCAATTTTTTGAAGCCTCATTTAACCTGCACCTGGTGAGGCACAAACTGGCTAGAAAGCAGGTTTCAAGCAATAAAAGAAATGAAACTGACTATTAATATGCAAAAGGGAAATCACAAGGACTTTTCCCCATGGCATAGATAATGAAAGAATGCAAGTTAAACAAAGGAGCTCCCTGTTGTGTTAAAAATATCAATTGTAATATCATCATGAAAAGCAAAACAGATCCCAGACACTAAAGTTCTATAAAAATAAGAACGTATTTCTCTCGTTATTAAACTAAACCTATCCTTCAGAGTTAGGGAGGCTAGGCTTGACCTTGTTTTCCATACTGAACTGCAGGTGAATATTAATGCAGTGCCTACAGAATCACCCCTGTCTGAGGAGCGAATGAATGAGCTGTACCAGGTGGGCAGGAAATGCGTCCAGATGTTGAGCGTTTCATTGGTCAGCTGGAAGACACTCAGGACACAGTCGGTGGCGGAGCTGCAGGGCTGCCGGTATCCCGAGATGATGCTGTCCTCATGAAACACCTGCGCCGAAAGGACAAACGGACTTGGGGACTTCACTGTGTCGCTTTAACATACCTTCCAAAACAGGACTGCCGAGATATTGACAGCTTCTACAGAAAACCCTGAGATAATCAAAATCTCCCTATTCAATATCACCCATTAAGACTCGCACTTTACTCACAGGTAAAAAGCATGTCCACTAGCCGCTCAGTTTCCTATGTGTCAGTGCTACGTACCTTTGATATATTTTTAAATCCACATAAACAATTTAATCTGTCATGGTATGGAAACAACTGTCAACAATGATTATTTAACCACTGTTAATGTAATCTATTTAATAATCTTTTTTGTGTTACATAATGAATATACAGTATAATTGTGTAGCAGAAGGTGATGGGATTCTCCACCATTCTGAATGGCCCGTGACTCATTCATTCAATTGACTCACTGTCAATTATAAGGACAGTTGCTGTATATTACAAGGAAATCCCCTCAGTGAGCCTATGGCCGATGGACTTACTTTGGGCACCTGGTTGATGCTGAAGACACGGGGCAGCTTCAAGCTCAACATGGTGGACAGGACAGCCAGTCGCAAAAAAAGGAAGACAGCACTGTGCAAAGAAGGAATCTCTGGTTTCTGCTCTGCTGTCAACTGTGAACGTTATCCACCAGTGTCCCAAACACAGCCCCACTTCCACACGGCAATCCTCTTAGCAGCCCCTTTGCAAAGTGTTATCCTGCTCCCTGTCTCCCTGCACTCCAGGATCTCACTCCTAGTCTCTCTGTACAGCTGGATCCTGCTCCCAGTCTCTCTCCACTGCCGGATCCTGCTCCCAGTCTCTCTCCACAGCTGTATCCTGCTCCCTGTCCCTCTTCACACTGTAGCCTTGAAGCTGATCTGTTATCACACTCCGATCCCCCTCCCAGGACCTCCCCACGCTCCAGTGTTGTTCCCAGTCTGTCCCAGTCTCCAACAGGATCTCAGAGCCACTGCAGGAATAGACAGAAAGCAGAGTTAATAAGCTCCACTGTGGAGAGAGATAGCCTTCAGACTGCAACCACACAGCCCATAGAGACAGTGCATGTTGTCAGGAGTATGCATAAACAGAAATAAATTCAATCATGATTGACTAATGGGAAATAACTGCTCTTCACCAAAGGAAGGAAAATGACTTTTGAAAATTGGCTGAACTTAATTCAATCGGCTTTTCAAAACTCAGGCTATGCTTGTGTGGTGTTGCTTATAGGTGAAAAATATTGTGTACATATTACTGTTTTGAATTTCACAGATTTGATACCTTCTCTAATGACAATAACAACAGCCAGGTATCTACTGTGTAATGATAATTATGTCTTCTAATCTAAATTGCTCTTGTGTGATTGTTGTGGAACCTGGTTTCCTAACACCTCCCAAAGACTGTGTCTGGATTTAATTGGCATCTTTAAATTGTCCTTGTGTGCCCTGCAGTGGCAGTAGACTGGCATCCCTTCCAGGCTGTCATCCCACCTCGCTCTCTGTGCTTCCAGGATGGCCTCTGTGTTGCCTCAGCCCTTACTGGGAATAAACATCGTTCCCATAAAGGATGGGATGAAGCGTTCCCATAAAGGATGACAAGCCACATTCAAACAAATAAAAATAAGAAACAATTCCTGACACTCCGCTCAAAGCACTTTACAGGTAATAGGGACTCCCCTCCACCACCACCACTAGTGTGCAGCCCCACCTGGATGATGTGAAAGCAGCCATAGTGCGCCAGAACGCTCACCACACACCAGCGATCAGTGTGGAGGAGACCAGAGTGATGAAGCCAGTTCAGAGATGGGGATAATAAGGCCATGATTGGTAAAGGCGAGGAAGAGAAATTTAACCAGGATACCAGGGTTACACCTCTACTCTTTTCGAGAAACTCCCTGGGATTTCTAAAGACCACAGAGAGTTGGGACCTTGGTTTTTCATCTGAATGACAGTGTCTTTTTTACAGTATGGTGTCCCCGTCACTATACTGGGACATTAGGACTCACACAGACCCCAGGGTGAGCGCCCCCTACCGGCCCCACTAACACCTCTTCCTAAGCAGCCTCAACTCTCCCAGGAGGTCTCTCATCCAGGTACTGGCCAGGCTCACACCTGCTGAGCTCAAGTGGGCTGCCAGTTGTAAGTTCACTTGCGAAACAGTAGTTGCGACACGACACTGTTATCCGATCGTTACAGCCTGCCACCATCACTTTGTCAGACACCTTTTCCATTGTTCCAGATCCCTCAGCCCGGGAAAGCAGAGGAATAGAAACGGAGCCCTCACTGGCAGGCTGCACAAGCAGGTTAATGGAGCGATGCCGCGCACATTGGAACCCTCCCCGGCTGTGGGGGCACCTGTCTCTGGGCCATTCTCTGTTCACTCAGGGAGCTGCTGTATTTTTAGAACTCGCCACTTCCTTGGCAACCAGTGGGCCGCGATCTCTCACCTCCTGTCGAGGGGGGAAAAAATAGCTAATGGGACAATTGAATAACCTGGTCTGCCTGTCGGCAGTGCGGGGAAAACTCGTTTTGTAATCTGTGTTTTCTCTATTAGGGAGGACTGAGTGTGCAGTCAGGCCTTATCAAAATGAGCAGTCTTGACACGGAGACAATATGTACATGACACGAGACGGAGCAGACACAAGGACAGCTAAATCTGGCAGTCTGGCTGTGTGCGCCATGCAGGGTCTGACACAGACGGTCGGGCGAAAGGCTGGCTTCCATGCCAAGGGTGTGGAGGGTCAAGGAGCACCAGAGACGCTTGTTTTAATCAGAGATACTGTATGTTTTCTAAAACACAGTATTGATCTTCGAAGGAGATTCATTGAACAAGGGTCCAGCCTAAGAACCAACAGAAACAGGAGATGTCGCTCTGATTTAGAACAAAATTACAATCTGCTATCGTTCCACAGAAAAATCTTGCCCAAACCAAAGCCTTCAGGAAAGCATATCCAACAAAGGCCTCAATGCAGGCCGAAACATCAGATAAGGGTTTAATTGGGTTTAAATGTACAAGAGAGCAGAGGCAACTTCCCCCATGAGGGCTTTATACTGCCACTGTGAAAATTCATTTTGCACTGTCACTGTTCTTTCTCCTCGAAAGAAAGTGGCCTGGCAGCAGCAGCTACAGCTCACAGCCACAGGCCGGGGGTAATGAAAAGGAGAGGCACGGGGCTGCCCAGAGATTAAGCCTACAGGGTGTGACCTTTCTGGAGAAATCAGGGAATTTGCTGTGGCTGTCGCTTGCTCTGGACACACAGAAAGGCAAAGGCAGGGCGTGAGTCCTTATCGCTCACTGCGCGTAATCACAGAGGCAGAGTTTACCCAGAGCAAGGCCAACACTTAGCGTGTCGCTGGGCACCCAGGAGTCTTATCGCGGAGTGATAAATCTGTTTCCTAGTGGCTGAGTAAACTCTGTGTGTCATGGTTTCAAATGGGGGGGGGGGCAGTGAAGGCAAACACCCACACGGCTCACTCATTCAGGGGCTCTGCTGAGACAGAGGAAGCAGCCGATAAGCTTGGAAAATGCGAGTTGCAGAACGTAAGTTTTTTTTTACCAAAATAAGTGGTTTAATGGCAAAATGAAACAAAATGAGACAGTTTTGGGGAAAAAAAGCTGGGAGTTTGTGTGGAGTCTGGAAAATGTTTAGGTGGAGGGAAAAAAGAACCCTTTGTAAAGCAGCGCTGTAACTACAGTGACCCCTAGAGAAACAGGCGGACTGACGTGAGCACTTGAAGAGGACAGGAATCTTGAGGAGCAGAGCTGGGTGCATTTTAGAAGCTTAGAACTACACAACATTACATATTGTCTAGTACTGCACACCCTGTTAGCCGAGAGCACTCTGTGACTATACCCAGCAGCCTCACTGGATGCCTGAGAGAGAAGAGAGGTCAGAGATCTCGCGAGATTCCAAATAAATGCAGATAAAAGGACATATGTCTTAAACATATGTGGTTTAAATATGTGAGGTTTTAATTTAACTGAAACATTATAGCTATTTTAAATTATGCACTGTAGTTGATACCAACCTAGACCTAGATTTCTGGACAATCCTTCATAGAGGACCTAATTTTTTCACCACTCCCTGAAAGGGCTTTTATTAAACAGTGTTTGGACAGAGCAAACTTCCTCCTGAGTATCAACATGCCCCTGCTCTGAGAGCAACTGTGGGAAGATCTAGTATAAGTGCTGCTCGAGCAGTATTTTAGGCAGCCACTAAACACAGCACATGACTAGAAACAACACACAGAGCCTAGTTATGAAAAACGGGGCACCTCCTTATACAGAGATAACACCAAGCATAAAAAAGAGCAGACACAAACAGCCTTGGTACCATGGCTTGCGATCAATAATGAGGCAGGCTGATGAAATTAAGAGGACGGCCTGCACACAATGCTGTTAAACCTGAGCTGTATGCAATGTGGGGCAGTAGGTGCAGCTTTGACACAGGCTGAATCGGGGAAGACAGAACTCAGTATCTCTTTCGATTTTCCCAGCTCTCCTTGCCCCTGGTATTGATCCTGATCTAACAATCGTCCAGTATCCTGAGCACTCACTCTCACTGAGTACCTGTATAACAAAGTGCCCGAATGGTTGGAGTGCATTCAGGAAATTTGCTGGGTTTTGTTCTGGGCACAGGGGTGAAGGCCTGGAATAACTCTGCTGTTTACACCAGCAATGTCACCTTCTTGCGAATGGCTGGCTCTCATCTCACCGTGTTAGTATGTTAATAATCCAACATGTTATTTCTGAATCTTGTCTTTAACACTGGGCCAGTCTGCTTCCACTTAACTCAGTGTATCATTAACTACACCTTCAAGCAGGTATTAAAGAGTAGCCAGGTTGGAGATTTATAGACATTACAAAGAAAACCTTGAAAAGCAACTAAGTACTGTAATTTATAGAATATAAGGCATTTGTCTCTTTTTCATTTTTTTACTGTTTAAAAATATAAATGTTTTTGTTTTCCAAATGTTCACACTAGGCATTTACAGCAGTTTTCCAGGCACTTCCAGAATCAGAGAGCCTTATTTACATCATCTTCAGACTACATGCTGACCAGCTTCTGCATGTATCAGAACTGCACTGACCCTGTCCCTATCTCCAGGAGATCCAGTCTAACAACAGCCTGCACCCTGACACCTTGACCCTCAGAAGGAAGAGGCAGGAAAGACATACAGTACAGCTCAGAAGACATTCTGCTGTGGACGACCAGAAACAGTGGTCGAAATAAAGCTAATCAACATGAATAAATAGAAAATACAAGACCCTTGTGAAATCGTGTGGTGTTACAATGTGTTGTGTCGTCTGCTGTACTGTGTATGTCCTGAGAGAATAAGAATTCCAATGTAGGTGTACATAGCAATTAACTCCTCTACTACCTTCTACTACTAATCTACTACTACTACTAAATCAGGTGGGTAGCTGAGTCAGCATGCGTAGGCTGCAAAGGAACAAGTAATAGGTTTATTCCATGCTGAAAAAAAGAAGAACGAGAACACAACGTTTCGGCCGTGGAGCCTTGTTCCTTTACTACTACTAAATGTTGAGTCCTTCTGTATACCAGTTAATGTGTTCATATGATCAAATTTGCATGCTCAGAAATCAAAAAGCGAAGAGAGGATTGTGCAATTGTAGACTCCAGGTGTGACCCTGAGACCTTTAACCCTTGACACAACCATGCAGTGTCTAGAACTTTACCAGGGCTTCTAGTCTTTTCCACTGCAATGCCTTAATCCTCAAAGAGTCTATAAGTGCACAGGTTTGACTTCAACACTCAAGAATACAAATTATGTTGAGTTTTTTTCACTTTGTTTCCTTACTACAACACCACCAGCCTGAAAGAATTTTATGTATGTAAGGTGTTAGGGTGTTAGGTACTATACAACTGTCTTTGGATGCAGGCGAGAGGAAAACAAGAGGAATATAGTTCTAATATTAGCCAGATAATATAAAATTGAACAGGCCAAGACAAAACCATTTTCAGACCAACAGCTTTCACCCTGAATATACATATAAATGCTAAGTTAAGTCTTAATAGTTGGTGGATGTGTAAATAACCACATTAATATTCCACCTTGAACAGAAACACGTGCACATATCGTACCGTGAGCTCCAGATTGTTTCTGCTTTATTTAAATTCTGAAAGCACGTTTGAGCTACATTAGCTATCGCCTGGAAATTAAATGAATCAGGCAGGTCAGCCCCAGACAACCCCCACTGAACTAGGGATATCAAAGTTTTCTTTTATTACAGCTTGAATAACTCAACATTATCAGCTCTGTATCTCAGGTGCTGCTCTAGGAGAAGAAAATTAAGATTGTGTCTCACACTATGAGAAATGTAGGCTTTAAGGCTGTCCCAGTATTAAGGCTTTGAAAATACATGTTTTCTCCTCTATCTGAGAAACAAAAACCTCAGACAGCAAAAAGAATCTACCTTTCAAAATCTTTTCCATCCACCTAGAACACACAGGTTCCTTTAATTTCACCTGTTGACAACAGTTCAACCTTAATGACTGATAGTAAAAAAATCACAGTTGCGTAAGACAGTCAAATGTACAAACAGTAATGTTGTGGAAAGTCACTGGACTCGTAAAATGTATCCAAAAACTAGCTCTGAAATTTAACCCACTCCTACCTACAATATTATCAAATATAATACTCACTCAGGTCACCTAGAATATGATCAAATATTCTAGCTAAACCAAAACCATTATCACAAACCAAAACCATTAATTCTAAAATTTTCCAGATCTTGACTTTATACATCACACAGAGCTTGACTCAGAAGCTCGACAAACACAAGGATGACATTTATCTGGGCAGAGGTTTTAAGAGGAGCCTGGCCTATGTTTAAGGGCAGCTCAATTTAACCTGTGTTAAGTTTTGGGGCACTTTCAGTTTCTACCTGAGTGAGAGAAAATATTCAGCTTTTAGAATTCTGGATCATCTACTATAAAATGACAGCAAACATCAATGCCCTAAACCTCAATGTCTCCGAACCACCGCTCGGCGAGATAACAAAAATATAATTTTAATTAAAAAACCTCTCGTAACCCAAACATTTACAGAATACATTTGAAAAAAGATAAAAACTGTTTCTTGACAACAGGCATATCTTTTCCCAAACACAAGTATTTAAAGTCCATCCTAAGACGATTTAATGACATTTTACAGCTTTGACGTTGTCTTACAATTAGGAGATAAAGCATAGAACAGTGGCTGGTGAGCTCTAAACACAGCTCAGTGAGTTATTTATATGGAAGCACCACATGCTCTAATAGTAAATCTACATGAGGAATAAAGCCTGGATGTTATACCTGCATGTACTGGCTGTCCACAGAGGGTTCCTCAATCTGAGGAATTCCCTACTGTAGCTGGAAGTGCAGTGTCATCAGCCACAGAAGGCATGAAGATCAGGGTCTGTGCTCGACATCGCCCGGGTCCACAGCCACTCACCCTGCCCTGACTCTTGCCCCTGCCTCAGGAGCAGAACCCGTGCTATTGAGCTGGGGGGGGGTGGGGGGTGGGGGGTTCTAATGTCCCTGTCCCACAATTCCGCTGTGTCACAATGTCACGCCAAGGCACCTGACCTGCTGACCTGGCCAGTCCAGTTTCTCCCACTGTGTGAAGGCTGAAGCAGGCGCTTCAACATGTGACCCGTGCTGTGCAACCAGAAGAACAGGAATGACCAAATCAGGCTCAACCCCTCCATCCGCCCGCTCACCGCCCCACATTTCTCCTGGAATTGCAGGCAGGAGCTGAGCCAGAGCCAGAGTCAGAGCCAGCAGGGTGTGGGGGGTTTCTAGAACCACACACCCTGTGATCCACACAGCCAGCTCTTCCTCCGTTTGCAGCTCTCGCTCGGAACACTGGAATTCCTGGCGCTTCCGCCCTCACGAACACATTTTTATGCCAGCTGGAGAAAAAGGAGCCGGGCTCCAGGCAGCCCCGGTGTGTCACAGCTAGAGAACCGCCAGCCCATCCTCCTTCTGAAATTCCCAAAGACGCTGTTCTTGAAAAATGCAAATGGGCTCACGTTACTGGAAGCAGAGCGGAGTGTTTTTCCAGGCACCCAATGTTTGAAGTGTCAATACTCGTCGAGGTTTTGTTTGTTTTTTTCCTTTTGTTTTTAGTCCTTGGTCACCAACAGCACCCCGGTCGAAAAGAGACATCACAGAATTTTTTTTTTCAATCACTATTTCTGAAGCCACTGCACCAATAAGTCAGTGTCACCTCTGGGACTGGATCAGACAAGAAAGCAAAGGTGTCGACTGCTTTTACAAAGCAGAGATCTGAAAAACTGGGCATTCCTGTACGAAGTTCTAGAGCATGTCTTAATGCACAAAATAAACAAAACAAAACAGCTCACAGACCGTCTTGTAAACTTGAAATCTACAAGCCTGAGAAGTCCTAATTCTATAAACCCATGTCATTTAAAAGGCTCGGGCTTCCAAATTGTGCAGCCACAGTGTCCTGCACCTTCTCTTCCCTGTTTCAGCACCGTGAAGCTTGACTGCCATGACTCCCATGAGCCGGACTGCTGAGTGTTTAACTTCACCTGCCCCACTATTTCCTTCGCCTCTGTGTTAGAGCACCACCCTGCCTGTACAGTTTAAACACGAAGTCCTGCCGGTGTGGGTGACACCTGTCTGTAGGATCTCTGCAGGACTTCAGTTTTACCATTGAACTCCCCTCTGTATGACTCGCTCCCAGCACAGTATTGAAGCCTTTTCTTCTGGCCTGTTTCAATGCCAACAAGCTTCAATGTCTTCCTGCAGAGTTTCTCTCAGTGTTCTGTGGATTCTTACGAAGTCCGAAGTTTTCTTAATATTTCAAGGCCTGGCAATCTTTGTTTCTTAAAGTTTTCCAAAACGTTAAAAACTGTTATATTTATTGAAGGATATGTATTTTATGTTGGCAATAAAAATTAAAGATTCAATTCATACATGAAATCTCATCAGATCAAAAACGTTGTTTACATTTGAGAATATCACAGTGATCTTCAGTCTGTCCTGTGCATAGAGGTTAATTAAGTGTTTAAGTCTGTTAATTAGAGGATGTTAATCAGGGGGTCTCCAATCCTGTTAGTTTTATAGAAATCTATTTCCAAAATTTGGAAATACTTTTAAAATATCAATCAAGTAATTTATTAAATTGATAGAGCCCTGGTGATTAACAGCTCAAAGACGCTTAGACTTGAACCTTAAATGATCGTTGAATTAATTAATAAATCACCTGCTTAATTGATCTTAATTACATTGTTCTGAGCCTATAGAAATAGGCGATTTAATGGTATAAGCCATGCTCAATCGAGGTTCTCTGGAGTTGAGATGCAGACACCCCTGCTGTAGGCTGGATGAGACACCTTCCAGCGCACGGGCAGCTTCGAGAAAAAAAAAATATTTGCATCTTTAATTTGGTTAACTTCTATATAAGCTTAATTAAAACGAAACATTAAAACTCAAGTACGCGCTGTACCTCATACCTGTACGAACCAAAGATTACATAACTGTGTGTGTGAACAGTTTAGATGACTACTTCGCTCCGCGCTCCAATCCGCGCAAAAGCTAGGGTTTAACTAGAATTATATGTAAATAAAGATATTTATACGTCTAATCCACCTCATTTCCTTCACTGTTAAATTTAGTTTCGGAGAGCAGAAGACGAAAGAGAGAGAAACAAGCAGTCTGCTCACCCACATGAGCTCCGTGCCGTAACGGGCAAAGCAGCCCTTATCAGTGTCCGAGCCCCGTCGAATTAATCACGCGGGTCCCGGCGGTGTAGCCGTATTTGTACTGGGATCCCTGTGTCCTGCGCTGCCGGGTGATTGACAGTCGGCACGGGCCAGCCCTTGTTTACCTGCTGGCTCTAGCGACGCTGCGATTGGACAAGAACACGGCGCCGGTTACCTGGAGACGCGAAGTGCCAACTTGAAACCGGGGGGTGTGTCTGGGCACCGCACACCTTGTCTCGAGCTCAGGTGGAAGGAACGTGTGCCGCCCCCAGATAAAGCTTTTTTAGGTGACATACTGTATGGTACAGCATTTTACCGGTAAAACATTTGTATTCCCCCGAGTAAGACAGACATAGAGCATATATTTTAAAGCTTGCTAATAAATGGGGGGATACTACCCCGAAGCCGAGAGAACATTTAATTCTGGAGCACAAAGTTGTGATAATCACCTACTATGTCCGCTGTTGAGCATTTACTGTTGTGTTCAGCACGGGAAAGGTCCTATTTTTCGACGAGGCTGTGTAGAACCGTCCCTGTGCCTCTGTGTATGCTACGTTCCTGAGAGACAGCGATGTATAGACAGACAAGTGTCCTCGCTACTGCACCCTCTAGAAACGGCCTGTGCCGGACGGAGTTCTGCCCAGCGGCGGACAGTACCTTTGGCAATTGTGCCAGCAGCTCTCCGCCTACACGAAACCAGACAGCAGCGGGCTGGCGGACCAGAAATCAAGCCTGATGTCGTTTAGTTTACTTAGAAGTTAAGCCTCAAGTTATTGATCTACTTAAAAAGCGGTTGAGTGAGCGCGTCTGAATTGTTCTGTACACGAAGAGTGAACATTTCTCTTTTCCACATGGAATTTCCCCCTGTACCTAACGATGGATGTTACTTTAGCCACGATATTGCCTGTATGCCAGTAATACATTTTGTACCAGGTTCGAATCTCGAAGAAGCGGACTCGCAAGGGTAACAGAGGAACGTGAGACGACTTTGTTTGTTTGTGACAGTGTCCCCGACAACAGGCCCATATGCTCTTACATGGGGGGGGTGCCCCCGGGGTAGGTGCAGTTGCAATTTATAGCTTTGATTGGATAAAATCATAGGTAACCTCCTTACCAGCACAATTGCACACGCGGTTTTAAAAAGACTACAAGCTACCGGTTCATAGTCTTTGTCCTCGTCTCTTCCCAAATTCGCACGAAGCTGGTTGTAGGTGTTTTGCACATTCTCTCAGAAAACATGAATTCTCATTTCAGAACAAACGTTAACATTCAATCATGCATTTGACATGCATTACTGTTGGGTTGTTACAGCTAACCAGTGTAACACGTTTTAACGAGAGCAACTTTTAATTAAAAGACTTGAAAAGATTTGCATTTCGTCGTGTCGGAAAAATAACGATTCTAACTTCACCTGTGACTCTTGCACAGCCTTATAAAATGTGCAAAGAGGCAGGGTCAATGGCTGGAAGCTAATGGTTTGACATAAATAAAACCGTCATATCTTTTCATCTGCAACTGCCGAACAAAGCTGAATACGAACTGTACAGAAAAAACAGGTTTTGTAATTTTATCAGCCCCGAGTTGTGTAATATGTTGCTAAGATAATTCCTCGCCTCTCATCGGCCCCTCCCTGCCTTCCGCAGCCTTGTTTTACGCTGAGAAACACACCCACACAAAGCACCTGCCCTCCTAACGCTGCATACCAGGGAACAATGTCTTCAAGTCAGCTTCCACACACATTCTCTCAGCTAATGGGGGATGGAGACACGTCCAGACGGCACACACTGGGCAGGTTCCTCGTACAGTCTGAACGGAACAATGAGCTGGGCATGCTGCAAGGAGAGAAGGCGGTTCCACAGGTACCGCTCCCCAGGACAACAGAGGAGAGCAATAACATTTATCTAAACGTCTGGGCCCGGGGGCAGCCTCTCCTCACAAAGTCACCATAGTAATCGTTCGGAAGGGAGGGGCTCGGCCACCGCGCTGCCTTCTGCGGGGACTTCGGTGTCGAAACCGTCTGGAGGCACTCATTACTGCCCTCAGGTCGCCAGCCCTCTCTGTGAGCCGAGCCGAATCACATCACCTCCCGGACAGCAGCCGCGAACGACAGGCCTCTGCCAAAGCAATACGTTTTCAATCATATTCAGACAAATGTGTGCATGCGTTTGTAATTCAACAGAACGGGACAGTATTGGGGGGTGAATAATTTTCCAAGGACCTGCACGTAACAGGTTCCACAGATATGGTCTGACCATGAAATGAGTCATTCTTACAGCTGAGCAGGAATTATCCACGTTTTTTAGAGCTAAATTCAAAGTCAGTGCAAAGAGTATCAAGTAAATTGTCACAGGCTGGCTGGATCTGCAGCCTGAGCCTTTGGACACAGTAAGAGCACCTTGACATTTCAGGGAGAACTGCACTTTGGTCTAGTTTAGGTTGACTACCTGATGATGAAACAGCTGTGACACTGCATCACTGAACTGCAACCATGAATTATTTTAAAAAACCACAGAAGAGGACAGGAACTTCCAGAATCAAACTGCAGAGACAGCAGTCCGTGCTTGTCTGAAGAGAGGGGGGCCTGCATGTGGTGTTTGCTGGGGAAGTAGTGTTTTTCTATAGCACAAAGACGCTTGGAGGAGGAAAATGGTATTTCAGACCATCGTCTTCTGGGGGATTATACTTCCTTTACCTGCGTGTAGAAGAAGGATCACTCACAGCCCATTGGCAGAGTCTGTAGGTGGGAACGCACAGTCAGAAGGCAAAGCTGGATTAGTGTACAGCCAGTGGGTGCCACTAGAGAAAAGACAGAACTGTTAGAAACATGGAACATCAGTCATGCTGGCTAAGAAATGGCACACTTCAGTTGAACATCTCATGGACAAGCTGAGACAACCCATTTAAAATCCTGATCTGGTCCCGTCCCTCTGCAGCAACCAGGTACATTGGGTCGATGTCCCTTGAGACATCCTTGCAAGAGGAGCACAGACACTGGCCTGCTAAGGCAATCACCTGTCCCCTGCTAGTAATACAAGCAATGGAACGTGCAGCATTGGCAGAGCGCACAGAGGGGGCTATGATTGTACTAGAGCAACAGGCTGGAGGTGCCACACATCATGTAGAAGGAGTGTCAGGGAGTTTGTCTCAGGGTGATTCATGCTTCATCTGAGTAGAAAGGCACAAAGATGCCATTGCAAGTGAAAGCCACTAGATGGCAGTGTAACGTAAGAGACCACAGTACTCATTGACACAGACCACTCCAGGTTTCCCAAGAGAATAATGAGACAGCAGGGGAGCAAGGGCATTAGGGATAGGTGTCATCCTGATCTCCCAGCTGTTCTAGGACATATCTACACAGAAAGGCTGTATATTCTTTGAAAGCCTATCTACTATCAACTCGCAGATAATGGAGAGAGAGGTATTATAGAGAAGGTTTAAAAACAGCACACCTGAAACTGAGAAAGTTAACATATCTCATGTTCTGAAAGTTAAAAAATGAAAGCTTAAAATTAACGTATGTCTTATTTCCAATAACTGCACATTAACACACATGTGGCATAAACTGAGCAGAATTCCTCAAAATTCCCTTTCTGTGATCTCATATGTAGTTTTTTGATTGAGATGCAAAACATTAAAATGTATTTTTTTTTTAACTGGGAGGTAACTTTTAAATCTATTGCTCATTAGGGCTTCTAGTACTCTTCTCTCAGTAATGTATGAATCAGATTTTAAAGAGCCCTGTCATCCTGGGATTTGTCCTTCAGATGACTTTGACAGCTCTGTGTTGAGCTCAGTGTAGCTTTCTGCAGCCTTGGGGATATTCTGACCTCACACAGGCCAGCGCATCTGGGCTCTGCAGGAAACTCCCTTGTATCAGTTTAATGTGAGACTTTCTGCTACAAATCACTAGTCTTTCTCTGCACTGTCCTTCAGACTTTTCACAATTCTTTAGGTTTTGCCATTGCTACACAAGGACAGTATGGCCATCACTTCCTAAGTGATGAATAAAACCTCATACTGTACATACACTGTATCTCAGCGCCATTACTGAGGCTAGTTGTAGGGTCATAGACTAATTAAGTTTCACATACTGACAGAATTCCTTTTCTCCATCTTTCTACAGGGACCAGAAAATGGGAAGGTTGAAGACCTGGTTGATCCACATCGTTATATATCTGCTTTCACAATGATCAAGAGTAGGCATCATGCAGAGGGGAGGCCCTGGGTTCAGCCTCAGACCTGGGGTGCCATCTACATGGAGTTTGTTTGTTCTCCCTGTGTTTGCATGGGTTTCCTCCAGGTGCTCCTGTATCCTCCCACGGTACTAAAATACAAAAACAAAGTGGTAGGTTAATTGGTGTCTGTGTGCCCTGTGATGGACTGGCATCCTGCCCATGGTGTACTGTACCTTTTGTCTGTTGCTTGCTGGGATTGACTCTAACTCTCCTGCTGGAGCCTATCCGACCCTGGATAGGAAGAAGGGGTTAGGAAATTAATGGATGGATTATTGAGGAGGATGAACAGGCTGTGGTACAAATCAGATCAAAGTCTCAGGGCCTCGTTGTCTTTGTTTTGCTTTGCAGGGTGTGGCAGGATCTTGGTGTGTGAAAGACTGGCACGGGCTACACAGCGCTGGAGCGAACGCAGTCTGACCCGTTGTTACCGGGCATTTCGGCCACTCACGCCTGCTCGGGGTGGGCACAGGTCACACCCCTGGCAGCTGGGAAACGCCTGTCTGCCACTGGGAACCCCTGTCACGGCTGCCCGTGTCACAGCACTCGCTCAGATACAGCAGCTGTAAACACGGCAACAGGCATCAAGTTTTCATCGTGTTGACTGGAACTGGCACAGTTTAAAGCCCCCTCCCCTCGCGACTAAACATAAATTGTTAATAATTGTCTCAGGATGAACCGCAATACTAAGTGTAGCCCTCCCAGCGGCTCTGATCAGAGGAAGCAACAACTACAAAGCACAGGTCCAGCACCTGCAGGACAGACTCTTAAGCTGCCCTGCCCAGGCATGAGTGGCGACTGTACGTGGGAGTCTGCTCTGTCACACACAGGGATCATATGCATGTGACAACACCAAACATGGCAACTCAGACTGACTGCTAGGAAAATATTTTCTGAAATTGCAATGAAGGACTATGCAGTGAAGAGAGATTGAGGTAAGGATAAATCAGAGTATTATGACATACAGTGTGGCTCTTGCCTCTCTTCGACATGAAGCCTGGCACAATGCAGCCACTGAGCTGTGCAAACAGCCTGCAGCTCCCACCTGCGCCCGACTGCGGCATCTCTGGAGGAAATCCTTCCCCCCGATGCATAGCTTGTCAACTGCACGTCTTTGCCAGGTTCATTCACAGGCAGGTTGACCAGCGCGGGTGCATCTGGTTTCGCTGCGGTTTCCTCACCCTGGTGGCTCTCTTGAAACAGATCTGAGCAAACCACGGAAGACAGTCTTTGAAGGGGGGAAAACAACACCTTTCTCCTCTGGTTTTATGAATGGTGTCATCTTCCCCACAAACAACAGTGTGCCAACAGTATGTGGATTATTTACACTTAACCACAACCATGAAGAAAGTAAGTAAGAGGCATACAGAGAAAAGACAAGAGAGTCAGAGCAAACATTCCTCCTTGATGTAGGCAGAGAAATTAAAGGAGCAAGGCCAGCATCTGGTCTGTATAAGGGCAGGCGGCAGGGGTGCTGCAATGGTGAACGGAGAATGTAACTGGGCTGCTTCCACAAACCCAGACCTTCTGCCGACAGATGACTAGAGAGGAGCTGTTTTACACGAATGGCTTCAAATACAGCTGCTTCTATTTGATCATTGATTCGTTTTGAAACTCTTTTCCACAGATACACTTGCGTTTTGTGAGCAGCTGATGGGTTTTTTGGTGTTCAATTCTAAAATGAGCGAGGTCTTGGGATGTTTTCTTAAAACTCTGGTGCCTCACGTGTTGATTAAAGACAAACTGTGCCACTATGTTGCCGAACCCGATCCCCCTGGATCCTTCCAGAAGCAGCTGAATGATACAGGGATCAATAAGGCCCTGGCAACTATAAAGCAAGGGGGGCTGATTGGCCTTCTCACCTTTGTACCACTTCTTACATGCAGACATCCTGGGAAAAGAGTCTGCTGTATTGATCCTTCGCCCATGTTCCTGCAGTCTTTTCACAAGAAGGGTCCAGTTCAATGGTGTAGAGCACACGCAGGAGGTAATCAGATCACACAAGTCTATAGATCAGCTCTCCTGTCTGCTGCAGTGTCTGATGCCAGAGTCTTTCCTGCCCCACAAATTCCTGTAATGCTATCAGAGCGATCATAATGGAAAAAAATGGGAGCCTGAGAAAATGGTAAAGTAAAAAAAAAAACGGAATTCAGATTCCTTGGTGCCTACATGTCTAATTATGGGAGAGCAGATACACTAGCAGGAAGAGAGTAATTTTATTAGAGGGCAGTGGATGGGAAAAGCCAGCATTGTTAAGTGTTTAAATGTCGGGAGATTGCACCAGACAGGTAATGTGGCACCAAAACGTTTGTTGCACCAATTCAATATTTTTCCTGTCCTTCTGATGAAGTGGTTTAGCAATAGACGATCAAGCTCTAAAGGTGTGAGATAAAAGTGTCAGGTGAACTGCTGCATCCCAAGGCCCTGTGATGAAAAATCACAAAACTTCATAGAAGACGACTTAAGAAAAATGCCTTTATTTTACAACTTTAAAAAGCAATTTTTAAGCACAAAGATTGACTTTTTATATATAAACACTCTGCATAAAAAAATGGTAGCATGTGCACATTGTGCTTGAATTGCAAAGTCTGTACAACCTCCCAGGACGCCCTTTAGCGACAGGTAATCCAGTAAACATTTTATTGCATATGTCACATGTGACTAGAGATCCACATGTAAATTTACAGGATACTGGGGAAAAAATGATTACACCGTGAAACAAGAATAGCAGCTTTCATGGGAAGGTCTTGCACATTGTCCAGAACAACAACAAAAAAAGAAATGTTATCTACTATTGTGCTTTTGTGCTCTGTGTTTGTTCACTAGAACAAGTAGCTTCCTCTCAGTGAATGCTTTTCATAATTTAAAACAACTTGAAACAACTCATAAAAAAACAATATCCTGTTGTTTTACAGTCTATTACAATTTGAAAGGACCAATGAAACCATTGACTACTTGTTCAGTTGCACACGTCCCAGTTAAACTGCAGTGTTTTAAGAAAAACCTTTTTTCTTCCATGAATGAAATCCTCAGACTTTTGTTATATAAGCTAATCTTCAAAAAAGGCAGTTTTTTTCCCATTTTTTTGGAACAGTGTGGGTACACTCAGATAGACAACTAAAACTCATACTATTCGAATTATAACATAACCACTCCTTCAGTCTGTGAAAAGTGAGGCTTCTAAGAAAGCCAACCAAACTCACTGAAAGTTCATACTGAGTGCTTTAAAAGTCAGTGTGTGTATTGAGCAATGAAAATGTATATAAGCAACTCAGGTTTTGAAGACTTTGGTATGAACAAGCATGTAAACCCTACAAAAACAAGGGGGCGCATTCTAAATGATCCCAAGTCTAATTTTACAATATGCATTGATTTAGTGCACGTGGCCATATTGATGGAACACATTGCTACAGGAAAATGCACAGTGTTACTCCAGGGCTGCCTCCCAGCAGGCCACCTAATCAATTTCAGCTCAGTCACAGCCCTACAAATGATTCTAGTTAGTTTTCTTTAATACACATACTAAAGACAAGCTTAATGTCAAGTGAGCCTTCAAAGAAAGGCCCTCATAGAGGCTCAAGCCTGTACCCTGACCACTGCAGGTGGCAAAGATAAGGGATTCATAATTGGAAAGATCACTCCTCTCCATCGTGTAACAGAACCCCGAGAGACTCGCAGGACATACTACGTACTAAACCTATCCCCTCCCTACTTGATTCAGAACGCACTGTCGACACACCCCACACTGGAGCCCAAGGATCCCCAGAGCACCTGCACTTGTAGAGGTCAGGACAAAAAAAAACAATGCAATTGACCAGAGAAGTGTGTAGCCCTGCCTACAAGCAAAAGCACAGTTGTTGTGCCCAGCCAGGCAGACTGGGTAGTACAGGTTGTGGAGCAAGGAACTGCTGGTGGCATTCCTGCAAAACCAAGGAAAAGCCTGGTTTGGAGGGCACTCGTGATGGCAGAAATGTGCTGTAGCTGGCAATCCTCTCCCCAGCTGAAGTTTTAATATTTATAAACTTGAGAAGCTGTCAAAATAAGCCTCAAACAGGGGCTGTTTTCAGAGAAGACCTACCAGCCACTTTCCAGACATTCACAATGACCTCCTTCTCCCCTGACTCATGACATTTTAAACACTTGCCTCCTTCACTCTCAAGTTACTCCCCTGAAATAAAGATTGACACCCTGACGTTACCCCCTTGTCTTCTATTTCAATTGGTGGCACACAACGCTGCCATGTTTGTCTGGTGTCCTTCCTGTTGTCTGTTGTAGTCTCTACAATGAGGTGATGATGGGTTCATGCTCGCAGTGGTTTCAGGGAGGTGACCCCTACCATCTCTGGGAAAGATCAAGCTGGACACTCCAAATATTTGCCATGAATACAGATTATATTCAACTCAATTTTCCAATTGACTAAATTTATATATGTGCCCCCCAAAAAAAGAATGGCAAGATTTATGAGGAATCATGCACTACTCGATCAGTATGTGTTCAAACTAGACAGTTTCTGAGGTCACAAAGTAGGAAGCCCAGTGTTTAAGGTTTAAATGGTCAGTTTCCATCTTTGCAATGCATAGAAAGTTTATATTGTTTGAAAGCATGTTTATGTGAAAGGCAGTAACTGCTAGCCCTCATTTAAAGTGTTTGCCAAATGAAAAGGCAATTTTATGGGAACATCCAGAATACAAAATAATGAACTGCTGTTGTGAAGAGATACATTATAGTAGTGCCAGCTCCCTAATTTGATACAAGACAGTGTAAACTGAGTTAATGCTTTTAATGTATTAGTGTTAACAGGCAGGGGTCATGCTAAAGATCTCATTCTAATATTTTCTGATTAAACACCTGGATTATTTGATTATCATAAGTTTAAAGAGCTGTCACATGTATCGGTTTACCCTCAGAGATGCCACCAAATGACATTTTCCTAGAAAAAAAATAGGGCCTTGTCTAAGGGGAAGCAAAATCTGAATGTACATATGTGTATGAAATTAAACTTAAATACATTTTCCCAAATTGCAACCCATGGAAAATATGAAGTGACTTAGCAGTTACCCTGTAGATCCCCTATTTGTGCCGATACACTGCTTGTTTCCTACATGGTTTTCAAGAATAAATCCACGCAAAGGCTTCCTCTAATTCACTACCCAGTGTGCAACAATGCGGTCTGACAGGACTCTAACCAAAAGTGCTTATACAAGCAAAGTAAAATTCCTGTTACTTGTCCCTGACTGAAAGATATTTCAAGCCTATTAGATAAATGAATTAGCGGTGGCTCAAGAAATGACTCCTCTTTCATGTATCTGTCAATAAAGAGCTCAGGGATGAAACAGGAGGTTAGCCCACAAACAGTTGATGGAAACAGACTGTGTATATAGATGCAGTTGTAAACTGTTTGCATGTGTCTCACACAATTTACACATCTAAGACCTGGTGGCTGCTCTGAATAAGGGACTGATGTTTACTTTGTGCTCATATAAAAACATCACTTCCCTACCAACTTCTCATACCCATGCATACAATGTGTCAGTTTATAGTAAGGTTACTGTTGCAACATACTGGCTAGATATTTCTAAAGAGAAGGTAAGATAATCCCTGTTATGTAAAGCAAAACAGCAAGCTTGGATGCTGTAGAATATGACACCTAACAAAACACAGGAACAAACTAAAAGAAAAAACCTACTGCCTTTAGAACCTCCGGCCCTGCTGACAAGACAAGAAATCTAATCACCATATAGAGGTGTGCATCCATTTAAAGGGTGCCAGTGCAGGTGTCTCAGGCTTCGCTGTAGTGAAGTGCTGCAATGCGTGAAGGAAACATTCTGAAATGACAGATAAGAGCCATTTACACCAGTTACATTACTGCTGTTACGCTCTGCACACAGACATATGACTGGATGTAAATCTACAGATCTTTTAATAACAGCACAAGAACACTGAATGAGTACGTTGTGCAATTGGTGTAGTCAGAAAGATGTGCAGGAAACTATCCATTTAAGCAAGACATCTTGCAGCATTCAAGCATAATGATGACTATTACACTCAAACGGCAAAGTACAAACTGAAAACTGTATTTCAGGTGCTGCCCGAGAGGCTCGGCCTGTACAAGTGCTCTCTCGAGCGGAGGCTGGGCTCTGTGGTCACGGGTTTGAGCCTGCGTCATGTCACCAGCCAACTGTGACTGGGGTTCCCCAAGAGGTGGCGCACTATTGGCCGATGGTGCGCCAACTTGTGGTAGAGTGGGGATAGTGGGCGAGGGCTCTCTCAGCTCCCGATATAGCGCCTCCTGTGGCCTCCCAGCATGTCTGTGAGAGAGTCTTCTCTCTTCCAATAGGCGCTGAACCTCTGGTAAGAGCCTGCGATGCTTGTGAACTGTTAAAAGACACGTGGGCAGGCCAGAGGACCTATACTTCCTCACCCTCTTGTGTGTAATAGCGAGGTTGCTTGAAAGCCGAGACATGAAAATCAGGTGAGTATTATAAAAAATAATTTGCGATTCTATACAAGAAAAACCAGCTCAGCTATCTGAAATTTGTCATTTGACAATTTTTTTCTCTTTATACTGAAAAAGCCTTTTGTAGAATGGAAACATGCTGTAGGATGGCCTAAAGGGCTAGACATAGGCTTCTGCAGACCCTCCCCATCTGAAGTCGCCAAACTAATCCAGTGGTGCCATACAGAATCACAGTCAACAACAGAATCAATCCATTTCAGTCAGGGTAAGCTAAGCAACACCCTGACCCCACCGAAGGAAAGCCCTCAAGACCACGTCTGTAATGAATAAATGAATAAACATTCAGATCTGCAGCACAGCAACAAAGTAGCGTGCGTCACCTCTAGAACCACCAACAAGCAATCAAGCGTGAAACTGTACCAGTTATCACTGCACAACCCAAAATACTGTACCGTAACTCACCTAAACAATTAAAAATGTCCATATGGCATTTTCAATGTGTCGCATTCCTAATTATTCCTAAAACAGCATTGGACTCAGGAACAGATGCTATAGGAAAAGAAGGGCTTGAGCACTGGTGTACTAACTCTGAAGGGGTCTGGCAGGATAATGATTTAAAACCAGATAGTCCAATTCAGAGCTCAGCTTCAAAATGAAACCAGGGAGCCTGGGGCTGGAGTGACACTATCCCAAACACAATGGAGAGTGAAGGATTAGAGCTGGATCAAGCCAAGAACACCCTAGAACTGCCTCTTTCTCACACACTCATCACAAGCAGCACCTGGCCCGAGGACAGCACAGGAATGGAAGTGCATAAGGCAGGTTTTGCATAGGCAATGCAAAAATCAAATGAGCTTTGTCTTCAAGTGTGCATCCAACGTGCAGCTGCAAAAAAATATGTTGGTCTCAGATGCTGTTTGCGAGCTTACTGTATGCATGAACAATACATTAACTTGTGACACCACCTGGAATGAGGGATCCAATTACTCTGAGAGAAAATTACATGTTAATTGTGCTGCAAAAACTGTGTATGAAGTTAAGAGGTAAAAGATCACCAACAAAATTCCAATACAACTTCCCCTGATCGTAGCCTAGAACTGCATCAGGAAAGCTGTAAATAATGGTAAAAATATCTGTAAGGCAAGATTAATACAACAGTATTTTTAAGCATACAGTAAAGCACAGGCAGAAGATCAAAGTATTGTGAAATGAACTGTATGTTGCCATCTCAAAGGGAATTCACACCACAGGTTTACTCCTCAGCTTCAGATTTCTTTGGGTGCATTTTTAAAGCACTGGTATGAAACATTTCTATGTTCTCGTATTCCAGAAGCATAAATAGTGAGCGGCATTTACAGTGTTAAGGACCCACCACAAACCCCTCTAAAGAACTGAAAATAAACTCCACAAGACAAACAAGAAGTGTAGAATACTGAAAGAAACTTGGTCAGGCAAGACGAGACCAGACATCTGTCGGCTTCAGTGCACAGCTGACGAATCATCTGCAAAGCGACTCAAGTTTTTTTTTACAATATTCTACAAAATCCACAATTTCCACATTTGGAGACGAGAAAGACAATCTACCTCCCTCAACACACTTGCACGCACCCTGATACCATGTGTGCAGTTAATTAGTTACCTGTGCTCACGAGCCAGTCAGATCAACTGCAATCTCAAAAATAACATTATAGCAAGAGCAAATGGAGCTACATGCTTCTTGGGGCAGGTAACTAAACCTAACTGCAACCTTGACCAATACGCATGTTCACACACTCACATCCGCACACCACCCCCTACCTCAACACAAACAAAAACACACAGGAGGTCCTTATCTACCAAGGTGAGCAGGCGAAACAGGGAGTTTTGCCCACAGCGGAAGACCGGACCCATTGTCTTGCTCTGGACTTGGTTTTGGTGGAAAGCTCTAGTTGTGCTTGGCCCTCCCGCCTTTCAGGTAGCTCTTCCAGCGCTTGACAAAGTCCCTGAAGATGGGGGCGCTGTCGATGGACGCCAGCAGCTGCAGCTGGTTGATGTGCGTGGTGTGGTAGTCCCAGCGTGCCAGGTTGGGCGCGGAGCCCAGCATGAAGTGGCGGAGGTCATAGATGGAGCCCGAGCCCGTGTCGTACAGGGGCAGCATGGCCTTGAGAGAGTCCATGCCGCGGCTGAACAGCACCCCCGCTTCCCGGCCCAGCTTGTCCCCCGCGGTCTCGGCCAGGTCGTACAGCCCTATCAGGGAGTAGATGAAGCCGTTGAGCACAAACGAGCTGGGAGTGGTCGGGTACTCCTCATACCAGTCATGCTTGCTCATGAACACGGCCTTGACGCCGTGCTGCTCCGAGGGCAGCTTGTAAGGGCCCGTGGCACGCAGGGCGGCGTTGAGGTATGTGGGGTCCTTGGTGAGCAGGTAGGCCCGCACCAGAGTGGACATGGCCTGGCCCTGCGCCATGGCGGAGTACCAGCCCGGCTCCAGCGAGCGGAAGCCCTCGCCCAGCTTGCGCGTCACCATGATGGGCCAGCCCCCGCGCTCGTCCTGGTTGCGCAGCAGCCACTCGCTGGCGGCGAAGAAGGCGGCCATGTGGGCCGTGGTGGAGATGGTGACGTTGTCGATGAAGCCCCTGCCCCGCAGCACGATCCGCACCACCCGCTTGGGCAGGATCTTGGTCTGCTTCACGGCCTTGGTGTTGGAGAGGCCCACGCCCTTGCGCAGGTCGGTCAGGAGGTCGCGGGTGAGCGTGCTCCAGCTAGTCCTGGCGCCCACGCCGTAGGTGATGTCCCGATCCCGGAAGGCGATGAGCTGCGCGCTGGTCACATAGTGGATCACGAACGGCTGGCTCCTCTCCGTCGTCTCCAGCACCACCGACACGCTGCCGTTGCTCAGGAATTTCAGGTCGAAGGAGATGATGAAATCTTTCGTGTTGCCCAGAGGAAGCGAAACTCCTTCTGAATTTTCTGAAAAAGTGAGGGACAGCATCGTACATTAATGGACAGCGGCTAACTTGATTTTCAGACGCATGTTATTCGTTTTACTTCACAATTCCATGGCCATCCCTGCTGTCCGAATCAAACAATTCATCCCTTGAAAAAATCTGGGGTTAAGTACAGGACCAGAAATTAAAATGACCATAGACAGAGTCACTTGGAAATGAGAAAGTAAAAAGTTTTTTTCCTTGCTTTAAAGTGCTTCTGAAGAAAGAAACACTGTGCTTCCTCTCCCCCTCCCTCACATCACTCAGTAAATCCTTGTGGTTAAAAAAAAAAAACATCCTCTGGGAAAGCAGTTCACATGTGTCACTGCTCAGTGCAGTTAATTAGAGAGAAATGCTTGCTATGGGAGAGGGAAAGAGAGAAGAAAAACGAAAAACTTTTGGCTGAGGCTTGTGAGATGGGCTGATGAACTACCAAAACGAAATCTTGGTATTGTTGTGTCTTTTCTCCAGAAGGACAGAGCAGGGGTGACAGTGAGGGCTGTGCACAGAGAACTCAAGACTTACAGAACTCTGATACTACATCCTTCAGTGTCCGCCTCCTCTTTGACACTGACACATAGTTTCTGGCAAAACTTCAGCTTTCGGATTAATAAAAAACAGGATTTCACTGCTTGCACTTTAAGCCCACCAATCTCCCCAGCCAACCGCATTCAGAAACACTTGGAAAAGTTCCGTTTTGTAAGTGCAAAAGAAAGGAAAGGAGAAAAAAAGCCTTCCGTCAATGTGACTTCTTTAAAAGGCAGAACGTGTGGATGAGCCAGCGGAGGAGAGCCTGGCAAGCCATTCCTAGTGCTGTTTAATGCACTCATAAATCCATTACTTAAGGCAATCTTGGGAGTAAGTGGATTTGTACTGTGGCCCTGTGATTACTCTGCCATCAATAAAGGATGAGTAGGGAATACATAAGAGATCCTATCCCTTCTCCCTGCTACTTATCAGCAACATGGACGCTAGGGCACGCTTCACAGCCCTTTCTGAGGGGATCGCAGACTTTAGGTGATGACAGCAATTACTTCGCTGGGATCTTGAGAAACAAGGCTTGTTAATTCTAATGGGTATTGATTAGGAGGGGTGAAATGTATTATACCATTATTAGCAACAAAGACCTCTGTGTGCCAGGAAAAAAAAATCTTAATAGAAAAGCCAACTTTATATGGCAGAAAATAATTTGGCTCTTTTTGTCTTCTTTGATATACATGTACTTATTCAATTTGAATGCACTCAGAAACCACAGGGGAATACAGGATGGAAGAGTATATTATATGTAAAGGACACCGATCAACTGCTGTTTAACAGGAACATACCAAACATTACGTTCAAACACACACTCAACGTCTCTCGGTATGGAGCTAATCTCTTTCCTGGGTGCTTTTGAAGCAGTAATCAAGTTATGAATGTCCTGGACTTCTGGAGAAGAATCTGACTTTCAGATGCACATTGATATACACATTTTCATCTTCAACATCAACAAATCAGAAAAATACAGATTGATTTCCAAACTGTTGAGACACATTAAGCAAAAGATACTGGTTATACACTAGTGTGTAACATTTAAAAAAACAAACTTAAAACAAGCTTGTGGGTGAATTCAAACTAAACACAAACATAAATGACTGTATAAAAGTACTGATGCAGAACAGAGATATACTGTAAATCTTGAGCTTCTGGGATGTCCTGTACTGTATGCTCAGAGATTAAAATAGTGTGAAATGGAAAGATACAGAAAAAAAGGACAGAGGGCACAATAATACTTACGGCATAATTAGCATCTCACACACTGAAAATAATGGAGAGACTGAAAAAGAAGACAGAAGGAGATGGTGTGATAGAGCACTAAAGGAAGGTGGAACTGAAGCCACTGATGTCAGGTACCAGTGTGCTGGGGGAGATGGGAAGACAAACCGAGAGAGAGTCACAGGGGCGGAAAATGAAGGAGGCAGGGAGCCAGACACACAGACAGAGGAGGAGGAGAGATCTGGCACCTGCAGCACAGTGTACCTTGTTCACTGGGAGAGTTGGGGAGACAAACCGATAGTCACAGGCGTGGAAAAGGAAGCAAGCAGGGAGCCGGGCACACAGACTCTCCATCTAGTGCAGCATACCTGGGGCGCTGAACTGCCGGACCATGCTGGCACGGCTCTTGTCATAGACTGAGGTGAGGGAGCAGCCCCGGGGAACTGCCCACCCGCTGGGACGGCTGTCCCGGTCCTCTGCTGTGTCATACACCTCCACGTGGGGCGGCCGCTCCGTGAGGTTCTTGCTGTAGTGGCTCAGTCCATACTGAGCAATCTGGATCGGGTAGAAATAGCCCTGAGGCCCCCACTGCGTGGAAAGTGGAACACCTAACCAAGGGTGACACACACAAAAAAAGATATTTTGCTGCTTTAAGACACACCACATCAGAATCAGATGAAAGACATGTAGAACCGTGCAGGAGCACACAGCTGCAGGTCTCAAAGGCTGCACACCAGCAGAATTCTCCACATCTCCAGCACACAAGGGGGAGTGGAAAGGTGTTATTGCCCATCTAAGCCAATATGTATATCAGCTAGATAGTTAAGGGCTCAGGTGGAATGCAAACATGGACACGCTGCCACCCTCAAGGGGTACAGTTGGTACAAATATCCATCCTTCGGATGAGACGTAAAAGCGAGGTCCTGACTCTCTGTGGTCATTACAAATCCCAGGGCGCTTCTCGAAAAGAGTAGGGGTGTAACCCCGGTGTCCTGGCCAAATTTCCAATTGGCCCTTACAAATCATGGCCTCCTAATAATCCCCCTCTATGAATTGACTTCATTACTCTGCTCTCCTCCCCACTGATAGCTGATGTGTGGGGAGCGTTCTGGTGCACTATGGCTGCCGTCGCATCATCCAGATGGGGCTGCTCATTGGTGGTGGTGGAGGGGAGTCCCCATTACCTGTAAAGTGCTTTGAGTGGAGTGTCCAGAAAAGTGCTGTATAAGTATAAGCTATTATTATTATTATTATTACAGTTGCACCCCTGATTGAGTGCCTGGGATTAAAATGTTCATAAGGTTTACTGACACTGATGCTTAAGCTCCTGCAGTCCCCTTCTCCATGAAAACAGCCTCACCAGTTCACCATGCAACCTCTAACTCTCCTTCAATTCCATACACATACAAAAATAAAAAAAAGAGCTGCAGCTTCATGCTCCTCGGCTGTGCAGACAATTTACATACAAAATCAGACCTCTGCAATCAGCCCCCTGCTCTGTACCCAAGTGCTTAGCCATTGAAGTAGGAGGCTTAGGCCCACTGGGCTGGGAAACATGTATCATAGGAAGACCCTTTTGTCGGTTTTAATCAGACCATCATCTGGGGCTTGTACTGCAGTTTAGACTCTGTAAGGAACTTCACTGTGCGTGCCTTAATTACAGCCACCACTTTCCACAGTGTTTCCACAGGCCAGTAATGGCACTTACCGCTCCGGAGCTTTACAGTGAAGTGGGAGAGTTCAGAGACAGCCATATCAGGAGCCAAATGGAGTTCTCAGAGGCTCAACGCCTCAGCCACGCAATCCACAGATCTTTCTGTGAAGAGCGTTATCCATCATGGCAAAGGCAAATCGTATTTATTAACGGTCTAGGCCTCTTGAAAGCTAGGCTCATTCTGTTCTCCACTCAGCAGCAAGAAAATTGAACCTTGAGGAAGTCTGAAGAGCCAGGCTGCGACACGTTCCGGTATCTCTGCACCAAAACACTCCTGTCCCTGGTAATAGGAACAGCTCAAGGGCTTCATTTAATGGATCGTTACATTAATATTCTTCAATGTCTTTCTGTCTGAAACACATCCTGACAAACAAAGAACAGAAATGTTTCATGTCTCTGCCCACATGTATGCATCACTGCACTTGTACTCTGGTTTTATTCGCTATTTATCTGTTAAATACAAACACAAGGACAGTCTGTTGACTGAGAGTGTGGGGGGGGCGGGGGGGAATCAGGTTAAATTGTTTTGTTCTGAAACAAAGCGTATAGCCCTCCCTCACTTGATTCATCTGCTTACAGAAATTAATGTTCGATATTTCAGACCCAAAGCAAGCCTCCTCAGGAAAGGTAAAATGCTGAAATGAAAAGTGAAGTTTTCCAATGTTTTAATGTATATGCTTTTTAAGGGGTTTCAATTATCCATGGCTATGAGCAAATGAGAGAGAAGCAGGAAAGGAATTCTTAAAAGTGTGGAAGTGTGCAGATGCTTTAATCCAGCGCATTAATTAACAAAGCAATTGAAAGAACCCTCTCACTAACCGTGTCAGCATGTCAGTGTGAGGAAACAAAAGCACCTGGAAAACACTAACATGCAAACTCCACGCAGAAAGAGTTAACTCAGGAGTTATCGAGCAGCAGGTCAGAACCTCGCAATTCTGTGCTGCCTATTATGTACCATTATCAGACTATTGTCTTCATCACTGCACATCTTCATTTCTGATATTCCCTTTACTATGGCCAAAGGTTTTCAGTCATGCATACACACAAACTTAAAAAAACAGTGGGGAATGTCAGATAAAAGGGAAAGGAGAGTAAGAAAATGCGTTTTTGAGCAAATGTGATCTTTCGAAACATAAATGATGTCTTACAGTGGCACAGCAGGGCAGGATAGTGTTGGTGCATGGAGCTTTACACAAAAAGGCATTTATCTCTGAGACAGCTCAAGGTAAAGAGTAAGAGAGGTCGTCCTCTGTTGTCGGTCTCTGAACGCATCATGGGGAGCTTGTAACCAGGAGACTAACAGTGCTGGGAGGAACACTGGGTACTCGTACCTCTGGCGATCAACAAACTACTGTAAATGCTGTTGAGATGGCTCCCAGCAGCACATCTATTGCCTGCCACTCTGAAACCTGTCTTATTAATGAGTGGCTAGTGTAAGTCCCAGTGCCGTAGCGATCAGACCATCAGGTGCAGTTTCACCTGTTTTCGCCTTTACGTTTGCTTAAAAAAAATCAAACACTGATACTAAAAGGTGTTACACCTTTTAAGAACAAAAGCATTTTAAAAACCTGGCTGTTTTCAGGTTATTTATCTAGGTTATGTTTTTCTTCCCTTTTTCCAGAAAAAGTGATAAGAATGTAATTCTGGATACCTTATGACCTTTGCACACTGGTCACCATTTCCAAGACCACAGCTACCCAAGCTATATACAGCAAGAATATAGCAGGACAGGGGTACCCACTGAAAAAATAGTTTACCAGGAACTAAAAGAGAGGACAAATACATATGAACTAGGTAGTTAAAGCCTAAGACGGTAGGTTAATTTAGAAAACTGAGCTGGAAAGGATCCAGCACTAATGTCTGGGTAATAACACTGCAGTTTGGGGAAAAGGCTTTAAAAATGAGACATTGATTCAGCAGGACTTCATGCACCAAGATGTATTGAGTTCATTACAAGACATTCTCGCAAGTATAAGATGGATTAAGCACATTTTAAGTATTTCCTTCACTTAACAAGAAAATTCAATATTCATTTTGCTAACCGTATAATATAAATTTAAAATGAAAGCCTTTGTCTCTCAAATGCCGTATTTTCTTGTGCAAAAGGCGAAATTTAAACTGCCTTAAGGCAAGAATGATATAACTGTGCAACTGGAATCACTGACAATTCTGAAAATAACTAGCCTTCAAACTGAAACCTAAAAGTCTAAAATAAAGTACCACTTTGCCTGCAGTCAAAGTCACAACAAGGGACATTTAACTGAAGAAATGGAAAAGTGGACATTTTCATCAGTTGCATGTCCTGCAAGCTTCTGAGAATTAGATCTATTAAGTTAATCAAGCATTATTGTAAATTATACTAACTGCTCTAAAATAAAGCACTCGAGATTATTCCCATTTAGTAATGTCATGAATGCCACCACAGTTATTATATAATTTATTTTTCCTCTTAAATTAATGAGAAATAGCCTTTTCCCTGTATTGCAATAAGCCAAAGGCAAACCTTAATAGGATTAGGCAAAGGTAAAATGGCTTTAATTAAGGCTTCGGTAATTTATGTGTCCTAGGGGGTTCCAAAAGATCCTCACTTAATCACATTTTGTTACAGCACACTGTCTGACTGGAAAATATTGGAAAGGCAAGGTCAGGAAGTAGCAGAGAGTAATGCATTCCATCAGACAGCAGCATGTGACCGGGACATAAACCCAGAGAGAGCTGCCAGAGAGAGACAGCTGCGCTCAGTCCCAATCCGACGGCACCTCCACAGAGAGAAGACTGAGGCGCAAACGTACCCTGACGCACTGGACAGGCTTTAACTTCAAGCTACCCAAAAGTCTAGAAACAGTTCAGAATATGGTACTTTTTTTAATCAGAAAAGAAGAATCTTTCCACGCCTTCTCCTCTGAAAGGAACTGCTAACTACTACTACTGGCTATTTCAGGAGAAGACTCTGAAAGATGAAAAAGAGAACAATGCAAGATGCGGGAGACATCAATTGAGAGTATAAGACGGACAGGGAATCGGAATGTCCCACAGTGAGACTGAGCAAGACGCACAGCCAGAAAAAGGGACCAGAGCTGGGGTGGATTCCTCTCATTCAGTTCCAGTTCCACTTCTATCCACGATTCCATAGCCAATGGTCAATTTCACTTTCAAGCATAAATATTCATTTCCAGTCCAAGAACTGAGTGGGAATGGAAGAGCGAATTCCAGTTTCATTACCCTCTGTCCTCTGATGGGGACAGTTGGACAGCGAATTGTGAGAGATGGGGACAATGAGATGGGAGCACCTCAAGGCAGACAGAGGAACAAGGGGGAAGGAAGGTGGGGAATGCTGTCCTCATACACCTGGACTGAAATGCCCTGATGCAGTTAGTTAGCAGTTCCTTTCAGAGGACAGGCACTGCACAATCCATTTCTCTCTAGCAGCAAAATGTTGTCAGCCTCCCTTCACCTTGTGAAAAGGAAGATTCATGTTGGTACAAGCACAAAACGGCGTTCCATTAAGTTTGGGGTCACCACAATCAAGTCTTGTAATCGCAAGAATCAATCCCATTTTCATTTGCTTAATGCAAGTCAATTCATACTGCATTATTCACTGGGGGCTGGGCAGATTACTTAAGCTTCATTTCCTGGAAAATTCTCCTACGGACTGTCAAGCCAAATTACTATTAATAGGAGACACCAGTCTGTGTTAAAGATAGGCCATCTATTGTACACACCCCATCTAAGTAATATATTGATGGAGTTTGCATTGCATTAGAGACTGTTAGCTATAATAACCGAATGGCAAGCAAGCTGCTGTGACAAATACAAATACAGTACATTAATATACGCAGAAATCATACAACTTGGCAACAAAGATGCACAAATATGTTTGGAAATGCTTAAAAGACCTGCTCCAACTGGTTCACTCTCAACGAACAATTAAGGACTTTCACGTAAATATGAATAAAAAAAAGAGAACAAAAAAGAACAAGAACAAAGTCTAACTCAGAAGAAAAAGGAAAGTTTTATATAGGCTAGTGTCAGAAAAACAGACAACAACGTGCTTCAGGGAAAACCACTTATCAAGGGTGATTCTGGGACACTACAGATCCAGCCTTGTCTAAGCGAGAAATTTTCCCCCATAGCATTTCATAATTAAATTTTAAATAACAAGAGACCTACTTGAGTCAGATCTTAAACAGGTCCGACTTCAGCCCTGCACAGAATGACAGACCCTCAGGTGGAGAAGGCACAGAAACACAGATGGCCAGGTCCTTATTTTGTACAAAGCTGACACCTTGTACCCATAGGGCTGTGGTACACATGCGGTGCTCAGCCAGGCCCTTCAGCCCTGGGAACAAGGTTTTAAAAAGGCATGGGTACAAGAAATGTTCCCGAGTGTTTACACATCTCGCAAGGAGCTCGGGGAGCTAGCTGGCATCAGAACATTTAAGAACAGCTGTCTTTGGAGCAGGGAATGCAATTTGCTTACTTTAAAAACCACAAAGACAGAACGTGGGACTTTTGCCCTAATGCTAAGGAAGTCTAACTGCTGACACGCACAAAGACCGAGTCTGCAACAGACGCCGTACCAACCTTCGATGCCACTGATGCACTTCACACGGTCGCGCACCTCCACGTTGTAGCCCTCAAACGACATGAAGACGCCGTCGGGGTGGTAGGGCTCTCGCTGGGCGTACACTTTGGAGTAGCTGTGGGAGAACTCAAAGCGGTCGTAGCCATCGTACTGGGCAATCTTCCCATACACCTCAAAATACTTCTCCACCCAGCTGAAGGGGAGGTACACTTCGCTCCCCTCCCTCCGGCCTTTGATGGTGTTCTCGTCATTAATCAGGCAGTCTAGTTCCTCGTACTTGATTCCCAGCACTTTGTTCACGTTGCTGTTCAGTCCTCCCACCACTGGGGGAGCCTTCTGCTGCTCCTGCGGCGATGCCTCCTCCGACTGCTGCTGCTGCTGCTGCTGCTTGGGTGCGTGGGGGTTGTCAGCATTGCCGTCGCTCTCCGAGACCGCCGTGCGCTTCTCCAGCCCGTCTCTCCGGAAACTGAGGTCCAGCAGGTTGGGGTCACGGGGGAAGCGCAGGGCTGTGTCGCTGGAGCACTTGTTCCACAGCAGCACGGTGATGAGGGTGAAGAGCGCGCAGATCACTATCAGTGTCTTGTAGTTGACGCGAGCTGCCAAGCAGCGCATGGTCACCGCCAAGCTGCACAACACACAGGGCACAAGTTACTCACGGGGCTCACTGCAGCATGCAACACAACAGGGCAACAGGTGCACTTTCTGCTGAAGTCTGGAAAACAAAAGAGGGGTCATCCAAAAAACTAAACAGGCATCAAAACAGCCCTCCTCCAACATATCCAAATGTCCTGGGTTTACCTCAAAAGCAATATCTGAGGTGAAGTTCATTCAAGCTATTTTCATAATGTATTTACTGAAAGATATTTTAGGAATCCTTCACATGCCCTGCCCGGTGGTGACGGCAGAAATGCACAGTCTCAGTAACTGAGCACCCTCTCACAACCTGGGGGAGAGCACCGATGATTAATGAACACCTGAAGAAAACTCTGTGCAAGACCAACACACATTAACTTGAATGTGAAAAGTAATAATGCTGGAAAGATGTGCCCTGCTTAAATTATCGTTTCTGCTCATCTCAGAGACGTTCATTCAGACAAAGCAGCTCCATTTTAGGAAAGTAATATCACCCTAAGCTCCATGCCTGAAATCACACACAGTATTAAAATGTTAATACATCTAGCATTCACTTTGCCCGCTGCGAGTCTGAGCATTTCAGGACAGAAGCTGTACAGTACACGGGCGAGGAAAAGGAATGTGTGAATGAGTTTGGAGGAATAATGGCAGGCTGCCACATCCACAGGACCCGGAGGCTCGGCCGGTCTCCTGTTGCGGAGACAAGGTGCTGTCGCGGGGTCTAGACGGTTCACAATCCACCGAACACTTGGAATCATCCAGCCGGTTAACAATCAGCAGAACCTGGCAGCCTGCTGAATAATTTCTGTCTGGCCTTTAATCCGACTGGGAAAAAAATTTCAATCCGCAAACAAGGCTGAGCTTCCTCTTGCTGCTAATTACAGCTTAGGTGTTCAGCAAGCGTAGACACAGAACTCTGCACCCCTCCACACATTGAAAAATCCATACTGCAGAGTGCACCTCCCAGTGCTGTTTTGTAAACCAGAGGTACTACAGAGTTAGCAACGCATATGTATAAAATCCTCCTGGGCTACCACTATTTATCTTACTTTACCTGACTTGGGAAGAGCTGTCTAATGTACACAAGACAAAGCTGTAAGTCTTTTTATATACTCAGGAACAAGTAGAGGTGATTTCCTCACTGGATAATAAACTATTCAGTCTCAGGGAACGTGTCAGAGCAGCAGAGCGGTGAGGCTAAAAGATCTAAGATGATAGTTTTCCACTTTACCTCTCCCGGTCACGATTACACTGACCTTTTCTCTACATCCTTTCGCAGGGATTCAAAGACTCCTACTGAAGAAAAGACATCGGATGCCAAACTTATCCTTAAAATTAGATTAATACTTTCCCTCAGCTCATGTATTTCCAAATCCCTCCCTTCATTTACAGATTTCTCTTTCCACACCTCCCTTCATATTCCTCCCCAAGACTGCCCCACTTCAGGCCCTTCACCTGTCCCTACAGTTCTCCCAATGTGCATTTCATTCTCTTTACCCACTCCTTCGACTATTATCCCTGCTCTCTCTTCTTTCAAACACCTGAGCAAGACTCTACAGCGCATACATTGTTTTCTGCTTTTCAGGAATTAACTTCTGCTTGATCCCCTTACAGCAGTGATTCCCATCATGTACCCCAGGGGGTACGTGAGCAGATACCAGGGAGTACGTAGGAAGATTGTTGATTAAATTTAATTTACAAAACAGAAATTACTGCTTGACATTTTTAAAAAAATGTAAAAAATCTTTCAGTCTCAATCAACATAATTGTGATTAGGACCAAAATAAAAGCAGAAATAGATGAAAATCGGTGAGATGTTGATGTCTAGCCTATTCATCACAATAATCATCCCTGCGTTATTGCATGGCATGTGCCTCATCTAGTTTCCCACCTGTCTGTGCGAAAGCTAGCAAGCCAAAGTAGAGATAGGTAGGATAAGTAGGATAAGTGGTTGAAATGTCTGGCTGCTGCCACTCCAAGTGGCAGAAACAGTACGAATTCAACCTTAGGTGAACCTACCGAAAAAAAAAATGTCCAATCATTGCCAGTTCCAAGATCAGTGGGTGGCTTCATAGGAACTTCGTACCTAAGTATGGCTTTTTCTGGAGGAGCACCTGTACCCCCCTCCCTACACTGTTTGAGGACCCAGAGTGGGTTGCGCATCTGGCATATCTTGCTGATGTGTCCAAGGTGATAGGGGAAATGTAAGGATGGAGATGTGAGCTGTTTTCCACTCCTTGATGCCCATCTTACCACCACTGACACAGAGCTGCTGTAGTAAAATGTGTGAAAGCACATGTGTCCAAACTCAACGGTGAGTTGAACTCATACTCCAGTGATATTGAAACCAGGTCTGCTAAACTAGACTGGGTCAGGAACCCTTTCAGTGTGTCGGAACAGCAGCAGCCTTCCTGCCAGACTGAAGGAACATCTGATGGATGTGTCCTCAGACCGTGGGCTGAAGATGAAACATGCAGACAAGACCCTGACA